TTTGATTGGCTGTTACTTTCCTTTTTGAAGCTTTTCTCTGGTCGTTAGCTGTTGGAAGTATCTAGATCATTCTCTGAAGAACATGTAGAGCTCTAGCAAGAGAATTCTTCCATCTTTGCCTGTATATTAAATACTGTTTATTGAAGCAGGATTACCAGAGCAGTTTTCCTTGTTTAATATAGGACAGTAGACACTGCTTGTTCTCTGGCAGACTACAGGCTCTTTAAAAAAACATTACTAGAGGTAAAAACGTTTAGCATTACTAGTTAGGATCATATATTCAGAAAGTGGGTGTAAGAACACATGCTGTCGTGTTTAATTGTAGCAGGCCATGGGATGTACTTGCTGCAGTGGAAATGAGTTCAGATTACTTGTGCCAACTGGTTTTTGTTTTTTTGTTAAAGAAAACCTGAAAGAGGAAACAGGAGGAGAAATGTGTGTGCTTACTGATTCTTAACACTACTTGTAGCACATGCCTACAAAAAGTTGGGATGTAGATATGTGATTCAAAGTTGAGAAATGTTGTTTTACATGTTTAAATCCATGCGAATGCTTTCCTAGTAGCCAAATTTTAGCATAAGAATGAAGTTATGTCTAAATTTCTGTCACACTTTTAATGTACAGATTCCATTTATGCTCAGGTCTGTGATGTACCACACCATGTTCAAGTTAAGCTAAGGATTCAAACCGGTATCTAACAACTGAAAATGTGTATCTTTCAGTGAACACTAGAATTGAAATCTAAACTTATTTTTAGTTTTGAATGCAACTTAAACTATTTGAAATGTGTATGTGGTGTTATGATTTTTTCTAATTTTCTGAATTTTCAGTTAAGGACCTTTCTCTATTAATCTTAAAATCTACAAGAATATAGCATGATATATACTGTATGGTAAGTCATCACTTAATAAAACAATGTTGACTATAAAAGCATAAAATACAAGACAGATTTAGAAAAACTCATAAAGCTAGCTCAAAACGGGTGAAAAATCCATGCATGCACAACAAAGATACAGCTAACATATTGCATATTATCACACAGAAAGGTTACCATTATGTAAGAAAATACTGTCAAACTAGAGAACGTAAGAACTTGTTTATTAGAAAAACTCAAGGCCCCTGTAATCCAGACCATCAGACTTTGACCAAACCAAAGGATGGAGAATTTACACACAACATTTCAGAATGCAATTTGAATGAAAAAGTGGAAAGGAGTTCCTTTTAAAAATGCAGCTCTCCCCAAAACAAAACCATTAACAATAATATCCAGAACTCTAATAACTATAAAGAACAGCAATTTTCAGGCAGACCTCCTGTATTCACAGTTCTGTAAAGTTTAAACTTCTTTTTTTACTTCATGAGACCAGTTATTCCTCTCTTCCACCACTTCAGGTTGCTAGCAATTCAATTTTAGCATCATCTTAAAAAAAAATGCAGCAAAGCATTTTATAAGAATCTGAAAAAACAGTAAAAGATCAGACTATAATCCTGTTAAATCTATCTAAAATACTAGCTACAGAAACAAGCATTGTCTTTACAATAGTGTGGAAAAAACAAGTCAGTTATTTGTGGGTTTCTTCAAGCTTTGAAAAACAGATGTAGAAGAGGCTTCTGTTTCAAGTCAGTACATAAAAAGGAAGTTTTTATGTACTGTGTAAAGATCATTAGCAGTTTAATTTTAAAAAGTGAAAAGAAATCACGTAAAAATCATAATGCCAATTTAGCAAAACATTTTCTCCATCTCACTCTACCACAAGATGCATTGTATTCATTATTGTTTAATTAGCATCAATTTGAAGTAATGTATCTGTTAGTATTTCTTAAAAAATAGTATTTCTGGAATAGCCAAAATAAATACAGAGTTTTAACTTGAAAGCATGTAAGTTCTTCCTGTTGTGTACAGGGGAATTTCTACACTGACATACTGAATAATAATAGAGTTCAGTATGATTGTTTTGCATTGTTCATATGTGGTTGTATCACATATGGAGTGATAAATGCTGAGACTGTGCCACAGGAGAAAGTGATTCTGTGTTTTGGAAATTAAAAGTACATTTATGTACTTTTTTATTGAGGATATTTTCTTGAGAGTATCTTGGAGTTGGGTGGATGGATTGAAATTCTGAGTTCATTCTGGAGTGGACAGTATTGCTGAGATTTCCAAAATCATTGTTGCAGGGGAGGGAGGAAAGCACTAATTGTGATTTTTAAACAAGGTTTTTTTGTTGTTGTTGTTGTTTGGTTTTTTTGTTTGTTTGTTGGTTTTTTGGCTACATCTTTTGGAGTCTAGATGGCTTTCCAGACAAGATTTTCCATTTTCTACCCTGCTCATGAGAGAGGAATTACTTTAAACTGAATATGAGGTTGTTGTATAGTCACTACTGTAGGAGCTCGTGAGTTAAAATACATTGCAGTAGCCAACAGCAGTGCGTTTTTACCTTGTAGACCGACTTTTTTTTTTCCTTTTCACTAAATAATTTTGAGTTCATGTGTTGACATTTAAATCAGTTGTAGCAGATTTTTGAACAGTGACAGCTGACACTATTATCGGATGAGAACCAAATTTGTGGAAATTGAAATAACGCTATTTAGTTTGTAATGTTTACTCTGATTTTTGTGGAGAATAGAATGGAGAAGAAAACAATGGAGGATTATCATATGAAAAATGTCTCCTCCCCCCCCCCCAAATTGTTTTCCTGTTACAACTCTGGGTAGATAACATGAAAATAGCACACTCATTTTATGAGGCATGATTCAGCTTGAAACTGGGAGAGGACTGAAAATCTTCTGTAGTGACATTGAAACTGCATTAAGGAACAGTAAAAAACAAACAAATAAAAATTTCCAAATTGAAGCGTTGAGAAGTTATGAAATGCTGGCGTTACAGCCTCCTGGGGGCTCTACTGGACAAGAACCCTTACTGCAGCATATGACGAACACTCTGTTCAATATCGGCCTTACAGATAATCTGCTTGGATGATGTGCTCAGGTGCTAGCAGCGTAAAAGAGACCGTGCAGTCCTACCGCTCTTGCTGTAGGAGGTTACTTGTGTGCCTGCTTCCGAGATGACTTGGTGCTTGGACAGCATTTTCTTCTGGATAAAGAATTGTTAAATCTGCACGGGGGCAAACCAGATGTGATAGTTGAAGGAAAACATTTCTGAAGAACTTCCAGTCGACCTGCAGTCTGTTTTTTGATTAACAGTATATATTTGCATTTTGTCAGTTTAATGTGTGCAGGTTCTTCTGGAATGTAGACTGATTGTGAACTCCCATCTCCTGTATCTATGAATAATGCAGACTAGTACAGACTACTGTGGTATGTCCCCTAGCAGCTCAGCTTGCTTTTACAGCATTAAATTCTGCTATTGCCTGCTTCCTAGAAGATGCTGAGTTATGTTTGAAGCTTTGACCTTTAACTTCAGAGCACTGTGTGCTGTGCCCAGGCTATCGAGAGGATCTCCTGAGGATGGATGCCAACAGATCTGCTTCCTTTGCTTGGTGGATATGTTGGCATGGAGGATGTTGCTTGCTGTGCAGGAGATAGCTTCTTTGGAGAGAGGAATTAGGTAGTGTGATATGGTGAAGGATTTGGTTTCTTCTGCCCAATGTCTAAAATGCATATCATTTAGATGGTCAACATTTAGAGTTATAATTAAGCTTTAGCGCTGAAATGTCACTTGTTTTAATGTGGAAATTTGGAACTGCAGTTTTATTCCGTCATTGTGACGAGTGGACTTCTGTGTTTGAACAGTATTTGTGTGATATTCGTATTCAGACCACAGTTCAATTTTACTTCTTAGTTATTTTTGCCAGAGACGATGTGCAGTTAGGATGCATCAGTACAATTTTTTTCCTCATGTTGTAGTTCTTTAAAATACTGGTATTAACTTTGTCACCACCCAAACAAGCCAGCTGTCTGTATCACATGACCAGTGTGTGTGTGTGTTAAATCCTGTCTGGTTTTGTGGAGTCTGAGGTCTTCCTTTGGTTTGTGCTAAATAATGGGATTAAATGGTTTAAGAAGATGCTGCTGTTCTGCCTGATAAACCAGTGCCTCACCATGTCACTAGTTACTGGTTTTGAATTATGAAGCGTGAAATGTTTTCTGCAGTATTCTCGTTTGCTTTGGCAGGTTTTACTCTATAACACGACTGCAAAGTTCATTGTAGATTACTATTTGTGAGCGTTAGTAATAAAATTATATCAATTATATTAAATAATGTTCTTTATTAATGTGCATATACAGCTTACTCTGTTCTAAGTTCTTTGTTAATGTGCATGAGACCATCAGCTTCTACACTGAAGTGCTCCATACTTAATATTAGATTGAATTTAGATGTCTAAAATGGATAATGATCCCCTAAATTTCACTTCATTGTCTGTGTACCTCTTAAGGAGATTTCTGTGGTAATATTGTATAAACACTTTTTCCTTAGGCTTTTGAAATTAAGATTTTGCAGTTAATCTGCTCTTCATGGTGTTCATATGTAAGTAGTAATATGATTCTTTAAAAACATATTTAAGAGAGTCTGTCTGAGAGTCTGAATTTTTTTATAGCATAGATCACTTCTGCTTTATCACTGTATTCATTTGTAATTATGTAGACTGACTTTTTCCTGTTCACAGTCACTTAGTATTGCACTCGGAATTACTGATTTCATCATTGGGAAATTATGGAAGTATTTGTTGTATTTGTATTGTTTTTAAGACTATTAGGCAGCTGAGGTTGGTTGATTATAAATAGTTCTTCCTAGTTTGCAATGAGGTGCTCTGTGGAGTATTGTTTGGAAATATTCTAGGCAACTGCTTCTCTGGAAAAGAAAGATGATACTTAGCCATTTTACATGTCTGGACTCTATCTTAAAAAATACCCCTCAGTGTTTTTCAATTACTGTGGTAGGAAAGGTTTTGGTCCTCTATATGTATTAGTCATACCAGCTTCAGACATTAACTGCTGTAAGTTAATTGCTGCTTTTTTTTTAATTAATCTATTCACAGATGTGATGCAGATCCATCTGCCCTAGCTAAATATGTTCTGGCTTTGGTAAAGAAGGATAAAAGTGAAAAGGAACTGAAGGCATTGTGTGTTGATCAGCTGGATGTATTTCTTCAGAAAGGTATGGTCTTTGTCATAACAGTTAAGCTTCAGTGAAAAGTCTGTCTTCTTTAATTCAAAGAATCTTTTACCATAGAATTGTGCATTTATCTCTTCATTAGCTTTGTTACTTTGAAGTATGGAATTCAATTTTCATAAAGTAATTTGTTTTAAAAAACAGGTGCATAGCACAATGTGCATGTTAGGTATGTGTTTTGTGTCTGTTGGTATTCCTGGAAGACAATTACAGATGTTAAGAGTTACTGAGAGAATTAGTAACTGTATTGGATCTCTGTATATATTCCAGAAATATTCTTCCCGATGTTTTATTAAGAGACATTAAATAATTCAATTATGGAAAACCTTTATGAAACATTATCATTATTGACATATTTCTTGACTCTATAAATGTCCTTTTTAAATACAAAATTAGCAACTGAGAATTTAAAAATTGTACTTTTCATTGTTTTAACTTTTTGGTGAATGTTGATTGATTGATTTGTAAAGCAGATGTTGACTGAAGTTTTAAATAATGGATATTTGTACACTTTTTACTTTTAGAAACTCAGATATTTGTGGAAAAACTGTTTGATGCTGTGAATACAAAAAGCTATCTACCTCCACCAGAACAGCCATCGTCAGGAAGCCTGAAAGTAGAATTTTTTCAGCACCAAGAAAAAGAGACAAAAAAAGAAGAAGTAGGCATTGATTTTATTTTAAAATTATGTCTTTTTCTCTCGTTCCTGTAGTTTGCTTATGTGATTCAACTTTATTGTGTTTATTTGTTTATTAATAACAATTTCCAAACTTATACTACAGCATTAAAATATGTCAGAAGATTTGTGCCTAGTATGTTGAGTACTGCAGCACAATTTTTCTAAATCTTAGTGGGTGCTTCAAAATAAACCAAAGTGGTTCTGACTAGGCAAATGTAAATAAAGTCACTGAGTAGTGTAGGAGTTGCTGAACAACCTACATTAGCTATTTTCTCAGGATAACTGTTTTAGTTAGCTGCCCTTTAATTCAGCATAAATCCAGGCTGCCATTGCAAATGGCAGTCCTCATTCCTCCAGCTGCTTGATTCAGATAACGTCCTTTTTCCGACACAAGTGGTTATTTTGTTCTTTGAGCCAGAAGAGTAGGTTTGTCCTTTCCAACAGCAGCCTAGGTTTGGCTGCATGAAAGTGTTTAACCAGGATCTAACCAGCTAACCTGCTGATGAAGAAAATACATTACTCTGTCAGTTGTTGAATATTCATGTCTTCCTGCATCTGTTACTGCACATTAGTATGGATTTTTGTCCACCTGTAGTAAAAGCAGATGTATTTTCAGTGCAATACAATAAGCATTGCTTATTCTGCTTTATTTTCTCCCAAACTGTGCTTTGAACATTCCTAGAAATAGAAATCTAATAAGTTACGAAGATTGTCTAATTGCATTAGTTGCAAAAATGTTCTTTCAGTTCAGTGTTACTGCTGACTTTGCTCAACATTTGAGGTTTTTATTTTTCTTCGATTGTGCAGAAGTCTCCATGGTAATGTAGTCATGTTTTGATCTAATGTACATACTTTAAATTCAGATAATTAAAGAGGAAGAGCGAGAGAAAAAGTTTTCTAGAAGATTAAATCACAGCCCTCCTCAGTCAAGTTCTCGCTACAGAGATACCAGGTAATAAATTTTGCTTAACCTCTTGTATTGGTAATCAGATGGATATGGATTTTTAGGGTGTTACTAAATTAAATATTTTCTTTCTGTATGATCACCTAATAAGCCTAAAAGTAAGACTTTTGTTGCTTTTATGCATATGTAGTTAGGTGGTGAGTCTGTAAGTGACAGTGTAAACTGTCTCTGAGTTGCGCACAACTATCATATTTGAGTTTTATGATTCATTTTTATGTTAGATTTGTGGTTTATATTACAACATTTACCTTGCTCAGTATTGAGATTGAATTGTAATAATTACAGTTTAGAAGCCTTCCCTTCAGTAACTGTTACTGGTGTTTCCAACTTGAGGAAGGTGCAGTATTGAGCAGACAGAATTGTACATACATTTTAAAATCTTATGGATGGTGAATGAATGGTAAAATGCATAAACCAAATTTTAAAAGAATTCTGAGAAGAAAGAAAGGTCCATAGTTAGATTTCATTTGTAGCTTTTCTCTAATTTTCCATTGCCATTTCTTGAGGTTTTTAATGGTAGTTAAGGTTTTAAATTATGGCTTCATAATTCTTGTTATTAACCTACAAAATTACATGTTTAGAAGCCGTGATGAAAGGAAAAAAGATGAACGTTCTCGGAAGAGAGATTATGACCGAAATCCTCCTAGAAGAGACTCCTATAGGGATCGATATAATAGAAGGAGAGGGAGAAGTCGGAGCTACAGCAGGAGTCGAAGTAGAAGTTGGAGCAAAGAGAGATTGCGGGACCGGGATCGAGACCGGAGCAGAAGCCGGAGCAGAACCCGAAGCAGAGGTACCAACAGTTGGTCTCTAAAATACGGTGAATGTTGCCTACAAAATTTAGACACTAAACTTAAACACAGTGTTCAAGATGTTCCAAAATTTCCTCTGTTCTTGTTTCTTTGTTCAAATTTAGCTTGGTTTTCTGTGGAAATACGGCTTAATGTGATTATGTTTTCAGTGCTTGTTTTCCCCTCTTTCCCCTCTTCTGTAGAGAACAATGGAGATTCTTCTCTAAATACCTTTGACTGTGTTGGCCACTTTTAAGCGGTGTTGTAAGGGAGGCAGAAGAGTCCGAGTTAGTTGCATTTTCACTAAGTTTTAGGAAACTCAGAATCTGGTTTGAGAAGATATGTAAATTAATACCCATCTGTGGAGGTAGAACTGGCAGAAATTACCTGTTTGACAGCAAATGATTCATCAAGCAGAACAGTACAGCTCTTTTCTTGTTGTCTTGTCCCCTCCTTGGTGTCGTAGGGAGGGACTGAAATTATGACAGTAAATATTTGCATTCACAGATGTATATATAGATAGGACTTATGGCTTCAGTACAGTAGTTTTTAAAATTAAACTTCTTCAAAAACAAAGCTGTTTATTCAGCTGAAAAGAATGCTTTTTCCCCCAATACTGTTACTGATAAGTTGGAAAAAAGAACTGAGTCCTTTTACATCTTTGTTCTGTCTTAAACAATGTAGAGGTAGAAATAGGCTGGTTTAAGTCTCCTGTTTTTCTTTTTGTAGATGGGCCTTGGTAACTCAGCCTTCAAAGTAGGAATGCAGAGTTCCTGAAAATAATGCAAGCAGATATTTTTCCAAACAACTTACCAACAAGCAAGTTAAATAGCATGCAGCAGTTTAACTAAAAGATTACAAAGTGATTAAATCTTCCTTTAAGGATTATTTTCCATAAACTGCAACAGTAATATCTTACACACAGTATCTTATAGTGAAAGCTTTGTTTTTTTCTAAGCACCTCAAGAAAAGTCTGTTTTATCTACACTGCCATCTTTAAGTCATTTTTATTAATGTTCCTTTAATGTGGGGTTATTTGAGTCTACCAATTTACCTCATGCCAGAGCTCTTCTGTCTTAATCTGGGTGCATATTGTTTATTTGATGGTAATATTAGAAAATTAAGAGAATAGTTTGTATGTATTCAGAATAAAAGGTCGTGTTACTGCTGTATCTGTCCAGGAGCGCTGCGTACCTGTTGAGCACTATTATTTCTCCAGTCATGACAAAGCTTTGCATGTGACATATGTATGCATTTGAATGCAGATAAAATGAAGATAAACAACGTGAAGATGCAATAATAACATTGTCTTGAAACATTAAAGATGTGTAACTTTCATAGTGTTTTCAAGTGGTGTTTACCTTTTTCTTGCCTGTTGCCTCCCTTTATTCAGAATAACTTTCCATCAGAAGTTCTTAGAATATAAGCATCACTACAGAAGACGTAATCTGCTTGAAGTTAAATAGTAAATCCTTTACCTTGTTTAATAACAGCTGCATAGCTGTTATTAAAAGAGCCCAGTAGCTGACTGTGTACTTTCACGATTATTATTTCTCTGATTAAACCTTCGGAACGTAAGATCATGGAATAATTGAGGTTGGAAGAGACCTCTGAAGGTCATGGAGCCCAACACTCCTTTGTAAAGCAGATAAACTGGACCAGGTTGCTCAGGACCCTCTCCAGTTCGCTTATAACTAACTCCAAGGGTGAAGACTCTACAGGCATTCTGGGCAATCTGTAGAACAGTTCCATTATAATTTTTATATTTTGAATTGAATTGATACAGATACTTAAACAGGTTAGTGGCTGCTTCTGGTGAAAATATGCAGAAGGAATCATCCAATATAACTTTTTTTTTTTTCCCTAATACAGAAAGGGATTTGGGAAAGCCAAAATATGATATGGATAGAACAGATCCGTTAGAGAACAATTATACTCCAGTTTCTTCTGTGACAAATATTTCGTCTGGCCACTACCCTGTCCCTACACTGAGCAGCACTATTACTGTTATTGCTCCTGCTCATCATGGAAATAACACTACTGAAAGCTGGTCGGAGTTCCATGAGGAGCAGCTGGACCACAACTCCTATGGAAGACCTCCACTGCCAAAGAAACGTTGTAGAGATTACGATGGTAAGTCTGTTCGTTTTTTTAATTGCTTCCTGCAGCTATGGTTGGCCCCTTTCTGAAAAATTGAGATAATTTTCCTTTCTTTTCCTGATCTCCTCTAATACTGTGTTTTTTCTATTAACACAATTCTGGAATGCAAATTTTATCCTGCTTTTTTATTAACTTAGCTTTTAGACAGCTTTCTTTGTTAGTGTTTGTATAGGGTTTTTTTAGTTACTAGAATCATTTTAGATAGATGAAAATTAGTATATTTATATAAAAAAGTTATTTTAAAAATCCAGTTTTACCCAGGTTTTCTGTCTCATGTCATGTTCAAGCCAAATACTGTATTTGATAGTTTTGACCGTGGTTAGCACCTTACTGACCTCATCGCTTTTTTATTCCATCCTATCTAAGAGGTAATTTTTAACTACAAAGGTCTAGGACTGCAACTTCCAAGGCTCATGTTAGCCATTTTTTCCCTGTAGGTGTCTCTTAAAATTGGGTGGCTTTTTCTGCTTATCTGTGTCTTAAGCTATTATTTTGAATATCTTGTGCCAAAAGCCTCACAAGAGGCTGCTGCAGTTGGCAGTGACTTAACTAAATTCAGGCAGTCAACCTGTCGGCTCAGAAGAGTTTAAATTTCCCCCTAAAGTTGTTCCTGAGTTTTGTTGTTGTTGTTGTATACCACAAATGATGAGTTTAAGGTCTAGGACAGTTTACATTCAGAACTCTGATTGGAATAGAATTTATTTTTAAGTAAAGAAAATGGGAGGCTTAACTCTGAAGTGTTGGAATAGTTGTACTTGTGAAGAATAGCTTTGCTAGGATATGTCACAGCAATACTGTGGAGCAAGTAGAGTTGTGAAAGTGTAGTTTTGTTTTGAAGTTTCTTCTAAAGCAAGCAGAGCTGCAGAATGTTGTGTCATGATCTCCCAGCTCCACAGGATTTTTAGAAAGGAACAAAATGTGCAGACTAGTGTACTTTTGAAATAACATCTCCAGGCATGACACTAGGACTTTGTACCTTTAACAGTCTGTCTTCTATAGCAGCTCTATTTCCAATTTCTGAGTATGAAGTAAATGGTAATTTGTTGGAAAACTGTGATATAGTTGTCCTCAGTTTTTTACTGTTTTTTGTTTTCCCTATGTTTCTGAATGTTACTAAAACATCTCAGTCGATGTCTCTTCCATTTACTTTTCTCATGGCTGTTTGTGTCTTCTAAATTTATAAGCTCATCTCTCTGTTCAGTGGCTAGCTGGTTCTAACATGCTGCTCTTCTTGTCCGCACTTTCATGTTTTCTACTTAAACCTCTGCAGAACTTCTATTTTTCCTTAATGTTTCAATTTATATGTTCTGTAACTCTTCCTGAAGATGAGGTAATACAGACTGCTTTTTAGCATCATGTTTTGAGGAAGTGGACAACTCTGCTTTCTTCCTATTTTATAGGAAGATGTTTTGAATTTCCCCCCCATATTGCATTGTATTTTATTGGGTTTTCTGTGGGGGCTGTTGCTAAAGAAATAATCATAAAGTCATAGAACGTTTGGGTTGGAAGGAACCTTTAAAGGTCATCTAGTCCAAACCCCCAGCAATGAGCAGGGACATCTTCAACTAGATCAGGTTGCTCAGAGCCCCGTCCAACCAGACCTGGACTGTTTCCAGGGATGGGGCATCTGCCACGTCTCTGGGCAACCTGTGCCAGAGTTTCACCACCCTCATCATAAGAAAATTGCTTCCTTAGATCTAGTCTGAACCTGCCCTCTTTTAGTTTTAAACCATTACCCCTTGTCCTATTCACAACAGGCCCTGCTAAAAAGTCTGTCCCCATCTTTCTTACAAGCCCCCTTGAAGGACTGGAACGCTGCAATAAGGTCTCCCCAGAGGCTTCCCTTCTCCAGACTGAACTACCCCAACTCTCTCTGCTGTCCTCATCAGAGAGGTGCTCTATCCCTCTGATCATTGTTGTGGTCTTGATCATTTTGTGCAGCCCTCCTATGGACCCAGTCCAATGTGCTACTTGCATGTAAAAAAAGAAAATTAATGCATTTTCATTTTTATTTATATGTGTGTATTTCATATTTACATATGTATGTATTTATACACATATAGAATACATATATATGAAAATAACAAAATTTTTTGCTGTTACATAAACACATTAAACTATGGCAAAATATTCTAATTCTTCCTGAAATTGAATTTTCTTATGTTGGAATTTGATAATATCAACTTTTAATGTTAATAGGGGTTTCTCAATCCCAGTATCTGCCCTTACTTATTTTACTTAAATACTTTACTTGTATTTTTGTTAATGTGAGGACACCTAGATTTCATCCTTTGCTTTCACAGTTTGTTACAATTCAGTGCGGATTTAATTCCTCAAGAAAAATCTGTCTCCTATATTTATTCTGCTAGAATGTCACTGCAGTCTTCCTGTGTGCTGACTGTTAAAGTTAAATGGCCAATTTCATTTTCTAATATAAATTTCTGTCGGTATGTGAAGCTCTTAATTTACAGACTGCTGCATTACGCATAGAACATTTCATATCTACTCTGAATCAAACTACAGCTATTGAATACTAACAAATTTTTTTCGTTTTGATGTTTCAGAAAAGGGTTTCTGTATGAGAGGGGACATGTGCCCTTTTGATCATGGAAGCGATCCAGTAGTGGTAGAAGATGTGAATCTTCCTGGCATTCTGCCTTTTCCAGCACAACCCCCTGTTGTTGAAGGACCACCTCCTCCTGGACTTCCTCCCCCTCCACCAATTCTGAGTCCTCCTCCTGTTAACCTTAGACCTCCAGTGCCACCACCAGGCCCTTTACCACCTAGCCTTCCACCTGTAACAGGTAATTAAAAAAGATTAAATCCCATTTTTTAGTAGAAACGTCTGGATGTTACTTGGGTGTATGCAGTGCAAAAAACTTGTTCTATGAATGCCGCTGTATGTTAAAAAGCTGTACTGTGCTCTACTATGGCATAGCTTACCCCCAAATGATTGGTTTTTATAGTAATTGTTGCATGGTTGATGTAAAATTTGCATGTTAAATGTGAACCTTGAATATGGAATAATATTTTAATTTTGTTTAAGCAAAAGTATGGAATGGCAAAACTCAATTCCTTGAGTTTTAGAGGCGAATTTGTCTGAAACTGACTACTGTTAGAGAAGAAGGGAAAACCCTGGAAACAACAGACACTTGGCATTTCATTTCTAATACTAAAATTAAGGAGGGTTCATGACCACATCAGACTTAACACCTGAAAGTATGTCATTTGCAATTAATTTTGAAAATAAAGTTGTAAAGTAACTAAGAAAGAAAATTTGCCAGCTTGTTTACTCTTTCATTGGAAAGTACTTTGGCTTGAGTACTAAAAATTACATGAAGACTTGTGTGCCTGGCTGTCACTTATAAAATAGCATTTAGCATTCAGTTCCCTTGCGTGGTTCAAAAACTTTTAAGTGAGCTTATCTGATTATTCCTTTCTCTCTTTTTTTTTTGTTAACTTGGGTGTCCCACTTGGTAAAATTATTCAAGAGCAATCAATATTTGATATTGCTTGAATATCAAAACTGTTTTCATTTCCAGTTGATAGTATATTTCAATAAGGACGGAATTTATTTCTTTCACCTAGCATAGAGAATAACTGTATTCCCGGGGTGATCAGTTCTGCCTTACATGCTGTTTCCAGATCTGTGTGAAAAGTCCAAATATGTGACTTTGTATCTTTTTCGAAAAGGTGGTTTTGCCAATGATTAAAGAGAAGGTCAGGCTTGACTGCTCTGCTTTGAAAGTGTGAGGTTGCCTTTTGTAAAAAAGAGTCCAACTATCCAATCAAACTAAAAAAACCCTCAGTTTTAAGAAGGATCCCTTTTACTTTCTACCAGAATTATAGGTATTTTGGAAAAATAATTTCAATCAAGATTAGTTATTGTCATCATAGAATATTTTTGTTATACACTATTAAAAAAATAGAATTTCCTTCTTTGAGGGGGGCTTATAGAGCTTTAAAGATCTGTTGTTTATGAAGATAAATACTGTTTTAGCAATTAAATTTTGCTTATAGAAGGGTGCTTGGAGAATTGTTAACCTTTTCAAATGCTTTTCTCTGTAATTAAGTTCTGAGTCATTTGCTGGTGGGGGCGGTTTCGTATGAATGAATGGTACAGCATCATGTCTGTATACATGCCCTCTCACACCCTTTTTTTTTTTTTTTTTAAATAGCCTTAAAAACATTTCAGATCAGTTTCCTTGTAAGTTGAATGTAATGCAAGTCTAGTGGATAATAAATGAATGCAGAATCCTTTGTTTCTGACAGGACCACCCCCTCCACTTCCCCCATTGCAGCCTGCTGGCATGGATGCTCCCCCAAACTCAGCAACCAGCTCAGTTCCTACTGTTGTTACAACGGGTATTCATCACCAGCCGCCTCCTGCTCCACCCTCTCTTTTTACAGCAGGTGTAGTACTGAGGCTTTGCCCACAAGGTTTGCTAAATAGAATAACATTGATTCATATTATACTGTACTTTTTAAAGACTATAATTTTATAGTTTGGGAGAATAAGTTTGTATCATTTAGACTGTGACAGTAACTTAACAGTTTTTTTTTCTAACTTAGTTCAGAACAGAAGTAAAATTTGCATGTTAAATGTGAATCTTGACTATAGAATAATATTTTCACTGTGTTTAAGCAGAAAATTTGGCATGGCATTTTTTAGGATAGTTGTCATACAACTCTTCCATTGTAACTGTATCTTGTAATTTAATGAAATGTTATATTTGAAACCTTAGGGGTTTTAACTGCAATTTATTTTAATTAGACAATTTCTTTGTTACCAGAAACGTATGACACAGATGGCTATAATCCAGAAGCTCCAAGTATAACAAATACTTCAAGACCTATGTATAGACATAGAGTACATGCCCAAAGACCAAATTTGATAGGACTCACATCAGGTGATATGGATCTACCACCCAGAGGTATACTTTCAAAGCTACACTTACTTCGTTTAGCTGGCTGTCTTACATTAATGCAGATTGATGCAGTTTTCAGAGAATATAGTACTGGAAAAGAGTGTATTTTTTTTAAACCTTCTGGAATTAAGAGAAGTTTAGTTGAACAGGGAGTTATGCTCATAGTTGCTTTGTGTGTGCATTTTTACAGGTAAAACGAAATCTTTTGCTAGAGTATTGCATGGTTTACACTTGACTAATAACTGGCCACTTTGTACATCTTTTATACAGAAAAATGTTAATATTTCTGTAACAGACTCGTAGGACGATTTTTGCTGTGGAGAGGAGGGAGTCCTTTTTATCTGGTGGCAGACAGTTATGCACTAGTAATCTTAACCTCATAGTTCCTGTAGCCCTGAGAAGCAGCAGCAGCATACAAAATGAGAAGGAAGAGGGATGAAACCAATTTTTTTTAATGTGTGTTTGTTTACATTTGTACATATTTGTATTTAATCTTACTATGTTTCTATTCGTGTATTTTCAGCAAGGAGTCCCCCAATATGATTCCTGTTCTTCAGCAAGAGACACTCTTCTCCTATCCCATCCCTAAGTCTTGCTCCTAGTTGTTAGTGCTCTGAAGTACTGTACATTTCCTATCATGAGCATTTTTGTGTGTGCCATCTAATAGTAGAATGGAGATGTTAGCAGAAATGGTCTGAGCCTCAGAGTATTGTATGGGACGTTGTGAATCAGTGAGTGCAGTCAACTTGAGGCAGATGCCTTCTGTTACACCTCTTTTGTTTTCCTTACGTTACTGTGACAAAAGGAAAGCTATTAGCTGTTTTGATCTGTCACAGCATCTGTTGATAGTTAAGAAAAGTCTGCGACCAAGATTTGAATCAGTTTGATAAGGATCATAGTCATTTAAAAATAAACAGTTGTGTTTTTCAGTGCAAATTCAATGTGAGCAGAATACCTTTTTACAATCAAATACACAGAAAATACAAAAAATTTTGTAAAATCTTTTTGTCTGTTTGCAGAAAAACCTCCTAATAAAAGTAGCATGAGGATAGTGGTAGATGCTGAATCCAGGAAGAGAACGATTGGTGCAGGGGATGCTGGAGTTCCTACAAAGAAGACATGGTTTGACAAGTGAGTGATCATTAACACAAGGTTGGCTTACGGTAACTGGAATTCTGTGGATCTCTTTTCTGTAACCAGAAACATACAAATATGTATAAACTGCAAGCAAGTTAAACTGTGGATGAGCTGACTGTGCTAAAACAAATCACACTATAAAGTGATACGTATTTGACTGTCTTCTCTCAAAGGCAGTATAGAGATAGCTGAAGTTGCCTTGGATGATACCAAGATCTGCTTCCTGAAAGCTGGAATCATCTAAGAAACAGAGAAGCTGCAGTGTGGTGGTTGTTAGGGATGACTGATCTTAGTGAGTTGTGTCATTGCTATTTTGGATTGAGTTGCCAGGTATGTTACTGAAGAAAATATAGGGTGCAGTGCTCAGTGTCCAGCTATACCTGGGGTCACAAAAGGTTGGAAGGGATTTTGAGAGATAACTGGGACTGAGGAGAGCATTGAAAGAATAGTTATTTGAAACATTAGTGGTGAGATTCCATGGGATAGCTGAGAAATAGTTTTTGGAGAGGAGCAATGTGGAAATCATGACTTATTGACACAAGCAAATTATTGCGAATTACCTGGCAGGTTTATGCTCTGGGGTACGCCAAGAGTATTGGTGGGGAACACTGCAGGTATATGGGCCTGTGTGCTGTACTCTTCTACACTTTTCTAAAATTACATTTTTTAAGTCTGCAGATCTTTCTGTGTCTCATACACACGTGGTCCTGTGCAGGCATGTACAATTTAATATTGTGTTTGCTAGCTTGCTATGGATTTCTGGCTTGATTTTTATTTGTTGCAGGCAAAATTTTAACAGAACAAATAGTCCAGGTTTCCAGAAGAAGGTACAGTTTGGAAATGAAAATACAAAACTTGAATTGAGGAAAGTTCCTCCAGAACTTAATAATATCAGCAAACTTAATGAGCACTTCAGTAAGTTTGGAAACTTAGTCAACTTGCAGGTAAGTCAACAAAGAGAAGGCAGTATGCTTTGACTTCATGATAGATGTAGTTGCTAAAAGGGAGAATGCTAATTATTTCTTAACTGGTTCACTGGAACTATTCTTACTGTTTTCCTAACTTGTTTCTTAAGCATGATCTCACTGTTTTTAACGGAAGCAGAAATGAAATATTCTGGTCTTTTTAGGTTTTGAACAAATGTTTTCCTCACAGATAAGATTTAAGATACATTGTTTTAAACATTGACAATTGATTGGAAGTGTTTTTCCTTCACCCCTTTTCTCAAGTTTGGATACGATGTCATAAACCCTCTGTATTTTTTTGAGATAAATTGTAAATACAGAAAACCTGTATTTCAGTGACATAATTGCTTTCTAGTCCCATAATAGGGGCAATTTATCCCTTAAAATTACTTCATAGTTTGTCCCTTATAATTACTTTGTAGTGTATCTGAGTGACCCATGTTTATGAACAGAAATAAGCAAACAGTTAGAGAAAGGTACAAAAGAGATTCAAAGAGCTAAGGCCTAACTTAGCTTCCAATGTGTAACATCAACCTATATGTGTAATGTCAATATTTCATATCCCGTCTCTAAGCTACTCAGTCTGATCTTTCATCATGTTTCATTATCAACAAGTGTCAGATGTTAGTGTTTTTACGTATGCTTTTGTGTTTGCACTGAGTTGTTGAATGAAGAGGTGTAATAGAATATTTTTGTGCGTACTAATTAATACATTACAGAATAAACCTCCTGTGCCTGTCTGAACACTAAGGGAATTTAAGTCTCTCTTAATTGCTCTTAAATATTTCTTAAGCCTTTCCATAGTTTACCTAAGAATATGGGTGTATTAGCAAGCAGTATGATTCAGTAAGGCAAGTAAAATCGTGTGTGGATGTATATAGAGAGATAGACAGATATGCAGATAGATATTGCAAGCTATGTTTTCTTCCAAAAGATGTAATTTTGTCCTTTGAACATCTCTAAAATAATATATTAATGTTCACAGGAGGAAAACAAAAATGAACTTTGTGTCTAGCTCTGACACTAGATAGGACATTTATTAACTGACCTCTGTATTTTTTGTAGCAGTTTTCTTTATTTCAGTGATGCTTCTTCTTGTCTTTCAAAAAGTTACTTATATTTGCAATTAGAACTACTGTTTGATTGTTCAGGTATTTTACTTCAGTGTGTTTGGGGTTTTTAAACTATTCTTAAAGTTTATTAGCTTAATCTCAAGGTTGCTTCTTGACACCAGGCTTTTCAAACAGAATCATGAACAGGAGATATTTATCTGCTGACCCACATTGGGTTTAAATTGTAAGCTCTTGAGCATTGAAACTAGTGATTTTATGATAATGGAGAGACAAATGAAAATCCTACATGCAGTAAGTTTTGTTCTTCTGTTTTAAATCTTAGGTTGCATATCAGGGTGATCCAGAAGGTGCCCTCATTCAGTTTGCCACACATGAGGAAGCAAAGAAGGCTATATCAAGTACAGAAGCAGTGTTAAATAATCGTTTTATTAAAGTTTATTGGCATCGAGAAGGCAGTGCACCACAAATCCAAGCTACCACACAGAAGGTAGGAGATCTAAGTCTATTCTGGCTAGAATGTTATGCAAAATAGAATCTTTTAAACATTTTCTAAAAATGTTTGTAGGAAGTAAACTAAATACTTTGGAAATAATGAGTGCTTCATGTAATGCTTTTCCAAAAGTTACTCTTTAATTGTAGATTCTTTGACCTCAGGAGTTGATTAGCAAGGTAAGACTGAAGGTATTTAAAGAAAGCCCTTCTGCAGCTTACTGAGAATTCCACTCTGTCATCTCATGTGAAGCAAGGCGTGATGCTACTGTCCACTGAATAACATCTACTTTGCTTTAACTAGTATAGGCTTTTTTTTTTTTCCTTCTGCTGAGCATAAGACAGACAGCAGAGATATATTTCTTTTCTTGGAAGATAATCTCCATTTTCTTCCAAAAGGTGCTGTTTTTTCCAGTCTTTTTCCTTTCCTGTTAGGTATGAATATTGCTGTAGAAAGTAGCAGTAGAATTTGTTTTACGCAAGGCTACCTATATGTATATACAGATATACACACGTATATATGTAGAGAGAGAGGACATGCAAACAACAGTGTAAGAAGAGGGCTGTGTTAAAGAGACTAATTTTGCGGAAATGGATCAGGGATGTTTTATATTTTTAAGTGGAGAGGGAGGTGCTGATCTTTTTCCCTGGTATCCAGTGACGGGACATGTGGGTGTGGTTCAAAGCTACACTAGAGAAGGTTCAGACTTGGCTTTAGGAAATATGTCTTTACTGAGGGAGTGGTCAAACACTGGAAAAGGCTTCCTATAGAGGTGGTCGATGCCCCATGCCTGTGAGCATTTAAAAGGCATTGGATAATACCCTTAATAACATGCCTTCTGGTTAGCCCTGAAGCGCTGTAGGTCCCTACCAACTGAACTATTCTATTCTACATTTTTTGATTGAGTTGCACGGTGGAGCACCTGTTGGTAGTTGTCATGTGCATAGTAACATTGGCAACTTTTTAAGAATATGAAACGGCAATTACTGTTGTGGAGCTTAGATTTGTAGCCTGTGACAAGACAAATTGGATCTGTTAGCAGGCGTAGTGTTTCTGCTCAAACATAAGGGGAAACTTGGATTCTCTCGAGTCATGTAGGTTATTGGATAGAGAGCCTTGTCAGTTAGCTCCTGGTGTAGCAAGTCCCTCTGAATACTAGTGTAACCTGCTTTATTGGATTTGCTGTCAGTGTGGAACAACACATTCTACACTTAGAAAATATGAGGCAGGCTCTGTAAAAGAAACATTCATTTATTTATGTATGCTGATACACTGAACAAGTGAGTTGTTAGTGGATTCTTTCAGTTGCTGCTCTAAGTTTTTAATTCCTTCTTTCTCTGGATGGTGTATGTCATCATCATTCAGAATCAATGACGCAGTTTTCCATAGCAATCCTGCTGCAGGGCATTTTAGGTAACAGTTTCCTTTCTCTCCTTCTTTTGCCCCGCTTTTTATCTACAAAAATGCAGCTTTAATGATGCCTTTCTCACTGTCTCTCCAGTTATCATCCTTTAGGCTTGGTTTGGATTCAAATGTATAAATATCTTTGCTTGATCTGAACTAGTGCTTCTCAAAATGGTATTTACTTTCTAAGGTTGATTTACATCTGGTCAGCCAGAAGAGGGCAGTGGAGTATGTAATTTGCATTCATGCAATTGTTACCTCCCTTGAGAAAGGATAGCTTGAACAGTTACTGAACTCAGTTTACTTGCTGATTATGCAGTATGGATTATGCTGATTATGGAGTATTGACTATGTATTTCCAAACAAATATCTGATCTATATATTTGTTATTTTGCAAAGCATCAATTTTAAATAGTCTTCTGGTTTTTAGTGATGTTACTAGCTTCCCAGCACACCACCCTTGTCAAGTTAACCTTGATGGACTGAGAATGAATTCCTCTTGGTACCAGGTAACAGTATTGAGGGTTCCCACTTCACAAAGGACAGTCTTTCATCATGTGTCAGGAAACTACAATTTGAAGTCTGTTATGGGTGATAGAGGGCACACAGTGACAAGAAAAATTTAAGCAGGAAATTAAAATTTTAAGTGCGATGCTTTCATTTTCATCTACCCCAAAATATAACAGTTATCAAATTGTTGATTCAGTAAACAGGTATTTTTAATTCATAAGCCTTTCAGGAGCATGAATATTTACCTCCCTTTTAATTGAAATTAATATTTGGTATCATATCTACAAGTAGTATGGAAACTTTTTTTACAGTACTTCTCACACTATAAGTATTTGAATTTTTGTCAAGATTGCTGGTGTATTAATTAATTACAACTGAATGAATTTCACCTCTATTTATAATGGTTTCTAGCCAGATATTTTCTGTGTCAGGCACTAAAGACAGGTGCTTGAATTTTTTTTTATGTAAAATCAAACTTGGCTTTTAAGTTTTCCCTTCAGTAGTAGCTGGTCTTGTACAGTTTCTTGGTCATTGTTGTTTCCTCAGCAGGATTACTTTGGAAAACTCTTACTATGGCAATTCCAAAAGCAGTAAAATTACTTAGTAGAGATGGTGGGAGTCTACCATAATAAATCATCAAATAAAAGGCTTCTGGGAGGAAGCAGAAATAATGTGCTCTCCACATCTGTGGTAGATAAAACAAGAAGTACTGGTCTTAAAATGGAGCACAGGAGATTTAGGTTAGATATTAAGAAATACTTTCTAATGCTAAAGGATGCTGAAATGCTTTTGCCTAAGAGAGGTGAAAGGACCTGATAGGACCTCTTTCACTGGAAATCTATAAGAACTAGGTAGGTAGATACTGCCAGTAATGGCTTATGTAGAGCTGACTTTGGAATGTGCAGGAATGTGCAGGAATGGATTAGGTGATGTCGTGAAGGTTATAAATATGACAGGAAGCTTGCTTGGAAGCATATTATTTTAGTCTTTAATGTTTTTGTCAAAGAAAAAATGGCAAGGTGTTAGCTGTCAGGGCATATCCATGGTAGGTTCAAAGATTAGCTGCTCTGTTTTATTTTTCCTCAGTCCCATGACTGCATGTCTATATCCCTCTTTCTTTTTCTATTTTGTCTATATTTGCACATAGGAGATGAAAAGTGATACATTGCTGTAAAAAGTGGGAGTCTTAATGGTAGAAGTTTGTATTCTGCCTTTCCATGACTAAATGGTTGATGAAAGATTTGTGAATGGAATCAGAAGACTGCTTATTACTTTTTGTTCAGTTCTAACAGGTGGAAATTAAGATAGTCTAAGTAGATTCGATTAATAGAAATAGATCAGTTGTCTGATCACTTTTGTGAGCTGCAAGGGCAAAATAGATGTTGTTGCTGTATGCACCACACAAATACTATAACACCCAAAATCTCATGAAGTGTTTATTTTTGCCATTAGGTGAAAAAGCTACTGAATGAAAGAAAGGAAGAAGTGTAAATCTAAATGCTATTGCAGCAATCTCATTGTGTGTTTATCAAATTACATATGTAGCAGCATTTCATTGTTAATATTATGATGTGCTTTTTTGGGGGTGGGGCGATGTTACAGGTAATACAACCCTTAGTTCAGCAACCTAGTTTACCGGTAGTGAAACAATCAGTCAAGGAGCGATTAGGTCCGGTACCTGCAAGTAATATTGAACCTGCAGAAGCACAGAGTGCCAATACAGAAGTCACTCAGGTATGTATGTCAGAAAAATCACATTTTTCTTTCTGTAATAGTTTCCATAGTGTATGAATGTATCCGTTACACTTACTCGTATAGTGCAAGTACATATTTACTACTTGTAAGTGCATCTAATTTGAGTGGTGTTTTGATATTAACATTTTCCTCAGTGCAATGATATTTGGCTTTCTTAACCCAAGAGTGATACCTAATTTTCAGTATCATAGCTTTTTACTTAGTTAAAAAAAGACTGAAAATATTTCAGTAATGTTGTGTTAAACTGCAGTTTTCAGATTTCAAAATAAAGCTGGTTTCTATCCAAAGAACTAAAAGCTGTCTTTGCAGCTAAAACCGTTAGAGACCAAAAGTCAGCATCTAAAAGTGTTTTCAGTATTTGTACATCACCCTTAATACGAGGAAGTATGTAACCACAGTACCAATCTGAATAATGACTGAATCTGGAATGTTACTCCCATTAGAAATAGCCTTTAAATTTTTATTATACTAGAAGTATCTCATTATTGTGCCACTACTTTAGTTTTACTTCTGAAAAGGAAGACTACCATGCTTCAGAAAACATTTGTAGTTTAAATTCAAACAAATTTCTGCAATTGATGCCTGTAAATACCAGATTATAAAACACAGAAACTGAAGTGTATTTAAAAGGGCCTGCGTAGATGATCGTTTGCCAGCTAGCATGTCATGAACTTGTTGCAAAAAAACATGTAGTATGATCTTTGATTCCAAATTTGGCTTTATCTTTGTCTTACCCAAACTATTTATACATGTATAGTAACTGTAAAATCCAATATCTAAAACTGTTTTTATCATCTGCTTTGGTATTATTTATCTTGTATTGTTGGACAAAATGCTATGGTTTTATTAATGAAAAATGTTTCTAATTTCCTAAAATCTGGAATTACACAGGAAACAGTAAAATACTCCTAAAGTATATTTGAATTATAATTTTGTTTTGTTTTCTTAGAGTGTGACTAAATTATCTGTGAAGGATAGACTGGGTTTTGTGTCAAAGCCAGTTACTCCAACAACTGAAAAGGTAAGAGAATGTCTCTTATTCTCTTCCTCACATTTAGTTTCAGTAGAATTAATTTTATTATCAAACCCCTTGTGTCAACATTAAGTTTGTTTCATAACTATAAATTTAATTTTTAGAGTAAGTTTTATGAAGTATAATATATCAAAACTCAGTGTAGCAGATGGCTAAATGATTATACGAATAATAAAACATGCTAGGACAGAAGCTACCATTTTGTGGTGTTTGTTTTAATATAGTGGGTTCCATTTATTCAGTCATGAAAATAACTATGTATGTTCCAGGATCCCGAGTTGTTAGAAGACTACAGAACTAAATTTTAAAAAATAAATAAATTTTGACACGATATATGAATCTATAGAAAGCCTTTCTATAAAAATGTTTTTGGGCTTTTGTGTCCCTTAAAAGATGATGCTGTAAACATTTACCCTCTTATTTGATATTACAATTTGTGGTACTTGTGAAAAGATAAAAGTGGAAGTTAATCAGTGTAGAGAGGACAAAGAGAGGTAAGGTGGGAAAGGTGTATCTGGATCATGGTTATGAGTTGTGTGTTTTTCCCAGTGGTTGCAGCTTTCAGAACACTGAGTTGTTGATGTGTTTACTTTAGTAGCAAAGTTCGTGATGCATGTTTCCAGATCTATTTAGCACCTTAGGGGAGAGACTTCCCCAGTGTTTATAACATTCATTTGAGAAGAGTTGTGGTAGAAAGGCAGCAAGTTTTACCCAGTAACAAGATTCCTCTGCTTAGTTATATATCTTTTCCATTGGGAATTGGCTTGACCTGAAACGAATAAAGTATCCACTGCATTTTACCACCCCCACCCCCCTTACAGGATGTCAGTTAATGCATTTAGTGGAATATAATGAGTAAAATTCACTCCAAAGATACTATGCTGTACTTAGCATACAAAAGTGACAATACTTAATATTGAGTTGTAATTGTAGAGGACGTCTCTTCAGCTCATTTCAAGCCAAGCAGTCCACCTAAATGCACTGATCTTGGCTTCTTGCCCGAAACACTTTTCTACAAAGAATAAATTCTTGTTAAAATGGTTTTCCACTGTGTGGTCTGACAGTACGGACTGATTTTGATTAGCTCCTGGGCTGTTCAGTGGACTGGTTGTGAAGCAGCAGTTTCCTTTGGTGTTTTTAGTAGGATTTTGAAACTTGATTTGGCGTGTTTTCACCTACTACTGTCCCTTTACAAGGAAATACCATGCTCAGTTTGCAGTGATAATGCTCTATAACCATTAGAAATTAAATGATTGACAGCTGTCAAAAAACATAGATGTCATGTCCTATATGGTTTTTTTTTGCTTCTGACTGAGTGCAGGATTTGAGAAGAACTTTCCAGTAAGAAAGTAGGTAACTATGCTTCCTAAAGGGCAGAAGGAAGAGGAGATGAAACAGTCACCATGAGACCTTTGAAAATCTGTATATAGGGCCTTGGAATTTATGAACTGTTGAACAGATTTACACTATTCCTTAGCTTGGGTAGTATTAAGAGATTTAGAAGACACTAATGTGTTGCTTCTTCCTCTTCTGTATTAGTTCATGCAGATACATCTGCTGTGGCATCTGTCCTTATATTAAAAGAAATGAGCAAACATGGTCCACTTTGCCATGAAGTCAGTTCAGGGCAAAAGGAGTGTGTCAATATTTTTGTCTTTACTCGGTCCTCTGTTTGTTAGTGTAGTCTGTCCTAAAGCTACTTTGTAATAGGAGCTGTATTATTGGGATGTGCATACATTAGTGTGCTTTAAATAAAAAAAAAAGTCCTTCATCTCCTTTTTAGTGGTGTGGTGAGGGCATTTTATATCACCTTTTATAATACCCTATAACATGCATTTTTTAATTTTTTTATTCTCCTCTCTGCATTGTCTACTCTAGAAAATACTTTACTGTGGGAAGAAACTGTATAAGTAGCACAATAGAGTGAAAAGTTTTTGTATGAAGTGTTCCTTTTGTAAATTCTTCTGATCTCTTGATCTTTTCTGTCTTTCTAATGTTTCTTGGCTGTCTCTCCCCTCCCCCCCTTCTTCTTCTCTCCTAGTGGTGGCCATTGCATCTCTCTTATGGCATGCATGGTGACTGATAGTCTCTGCATGCATCTTCTAATTTTCCACATATATAAAAAGTATTTTTAAACTCCCAGAAATGATACTGATTGCATAATTCCTGTGATTTGCTAACAAGGTGGACAAGATCATGCCTGTGTTCTCTTCCGGCACTTAGCCATGGATTTTTCAATACTAACATGGCCAAAATATCCTTTAAGGAACATGATAAGAGAACAGAATAGTCCAAATCTTAAGGTATTGTGGAGATGTACATAGTATATTTTAGAAAGGTTGTAAAGCAGACACCTGTGTTCTCAGTAAGTCGTGGAGAAATTTTCATACCTCATTACCAATGTAGGAAAGGGAACAGAGACATAGGAGTCTCTTCCTTTGCTGTATAATGTTGAAGACTTCCCTGTATTTGAGTTGCTTCCTCTTGATTGTGCAAGCTCTACTACATATGAAAAGGAGCTATTGTATCTTCTTTGGACCTTAGTCTCTAAAATTATGTTGAATTTTTGCTTGGAAAATTCATGCAGCCATGAAAAATTGCATTTTAAACTTCAAAACAAAAAAGAAAAAGTTCAGTTATTCTTGGGAAAATCTCAGTCTTCTGTTTCCTTAATTATGCTCAATTACATGACACTTTATATATTTGAAACTTGAAAGTACATATGAAATCTCAATGGAAAGGATTTATAATCTGTTGTTTATGATTCTTAGATAGCTGATGTGGTGCTGCCTTTTTAAAAATTGTTTAACTTCAGCAACTCCAAATATAATTGTTACACCAAATTTTTATATTCCATGTCATCAAAAAAGACAAAAGAAAAGATGCTTATATATTTTTAAGCACTCATGTTTTTTTTTTTTTTTAAATTGAAGTTCACTGGCAAAAAAATAAAATGATTTCCTCCTATAGGTTTTATCCACTTCTACTGGCTTGACAAAAACTGTGTACAACCCTGCTGCTTTGAAGGCAGCACAGAAATCTTTGCCTGTTGTTTCCACTTCCGTGCTAGACTCTAATGAAGCACAGAAGAAAAAACAGGTAAATTAAATATGCTTCTTTATAAAATGGACCTAGATTGGGAACTTGTGACCACTCGAGATAGTGCGCTATGTATATTCATCTCAAGGGCATAGGTGAAACTAGTTATAACATGAAATTGACTATAATGGTTTCTTTTCAAAGAACAAAAAAAATCAGCATTGTTTTGTTACTTTTTTTCAGTGTATGTTCAGGCATTGTTAAACAGGTTTAAAACTCTCTAGAAGTTCAAAATCTGAAACACTTTTTCCTGGAAGCAGAATCTCCATGTTGAGGCATGAATTGTCTGTTGTGAAGTGAGAAGGGAGTATAGTATAGTCACTGTTCTTCTCTCTTAAGCCTCTCTGGAACTGGCCTTTATTCTCAGTATGTTTTGTACTTCTGACCAAAACGGTTTCTTCACTTGAGAGAACTGAGAACTGACTCTGCTTTTTATTGTTTCTAAACTATAGTTCTCCTGCATCCATTTTTATTTTTTGTATAGTACTAGATTTTCTCCTTTTTTTTTTTTTTTTAACGTTAGAGAGAAAATGCAACAAAAATGCATTTGGCCTTGAATAGATCACTTGAAGTTTAGCTTGGTTAGAATTTTCAAAAGAGCCCAGTAAAGCTCCTCTTAGTTTGTTCTTATCACTTAGCAAAACTAAATATCGGACAGTGTTTATCTTACTGGTTTCAAGACACAAATTAAGAGTTCAATACTAAGTTAGATTCAAACGTAAGTATTGAAAGCAGTATAAGCATTAAACAAAGATTTTAACCTATTGGTAAACTTCTGTAACTAATGTCTAATATAATTTGAAGTAGCAGTTTTTCACTGCATGTCAGTTGTGGCATTGGTCCAGACTTTAAAGAAATCACTTCTAATTTTGGGATTCCATTTCCTATTTGTCCTGTAAAACATGTTTTTCAGAATTAGAGCATTTACCTTTCAAGTGAGGACACTAAGTGCCTGTGAAATGGCAAAAAACCGATAATGAAATTATTGACTTACTATAACAGCTGTAGGGGTTTTTTTGAGAGAAGACACTGAAGATGTGCTAAGTGATTGGCTCTTTTTCCATGTGCTCGTGTGTTCTTCCCTCTCTTCAGAGGTTTCTATTGCAATATACTAGTACTTGTGGAAAAACATGATTTTGTGGGACTCACTCCCTTCTTTCCTCTGTCTCCCTAGTTTTTCTTAGCATTCATCCCCTTGTCTTATCTTCCCTTTCCCTTCAGAAAACGATTGCACACTGTATTGCAAAACTAACATTTCATGCAGCAGAATTTGTCAGTATTTGGGAAGGCATACAGAAACCTCATTACTGTTTCTTTTTTATGGCTGTTGTGCATTTACACTCTTTGTAGAAGGTAATCCACTTGCAGTCTGATCTCAGTTGATTAGTGATCTAGAGGTACAAAATCATCATCTGCCTCTCCTCTTTTATCCCAGTAAATATATTGGTATCAAAGCTCTTAATTGTTTTCTGCAAGTATCCTGCCAAGACTTCTGTATCTGAGAGCAAAAAGCAATTGCTTTCTCTCAAGCAGCATTAGTAGGAGCTGAGCACAGCACTGAGGCATCTCCTTCTGCTTCTCCTGAGTGCAATATGTCACAAATTTATCAGTTTCAATTCATTTTGATTTGCCCATTGCAATGTCAAGATTCTGTTCTTAGCAGATTGAGTGGTAGTCCTTGTGGCTTCCAAGTTATAGTCGTCAGATGCAAGAGAGATGGTTTTCTTAGAGTAATGTTTTAATTTTAGAAAATAGAATTTTTTTTTTTTTGCTTGTAACTGTACTGTAGAATGTGTTTTAATTGATGGATTTGATTTACAGTTGCTTTCAACATACTGTCCTTGCACATTTAAACTCTAGTATGCTGTACTTTTTGTGGTAGTGTATTATATTGCCTTTCAGCTTTCAGTGGAGTTGTGTAAGGGGTTACTTTGTATGTAAATAATAATGAAGTCTTCCCAGCACAGATCTAACCAAGATCCTTAGCTCCTTCACTCATTTGATGATGCATTGTTTTCCAAAACATAATTTGAAATATTGCCTATTAGTACCTTGAGTTTCTGTTACTGATCTTTTTCCTGTTATTGTATGTTACTACTGTTTAGTTGTCAGGTGCAGTGTATTATTCTTCTGGCATTATTTTTCAAAATCTAGAAACTTTCTGTAATTTTTTTTATGCTTCTAGGAAGCATTACGACTTCAACAAGATGTCAGAAAAAAGAAGCAAGAAATCTTAGAGAAGCACATTGAAACACAAAAGGTAAGAAGTTATCATTAAAGAAAGTCAGCAATTCAGTTGTAAAATCTCAGGTCACTTCTCTAAAATATTTCAGAATTTGTAAGCATGAGCTACAAAACTGACCTATAAAATAAGCATTCTCTTAGAAAGGTATTATCACTTGTCTTGTTAGTTCACTTCAAAAAGTTAGTTCACTACAAGCTTATGTAGTTTAAGTGCTGTTTGAGTTAAAATTGCCTAATTTGGGTGCAACATGCATATGGTTTTTTGGGAGAAGTGGAACCCTGTGAGTTCTACTTGACAGTAGTCAAGTAGTCAAGAGCAAGAGAGATTGATGTAGAAAAGTATGCCTGACTGCACTCAGGCTTAGGAGGAGAAAAAGGCAAAAATGTAATTTAATTTGAATAAAGTTTTGGAATATTTTAAGTTTGTTTAGCAAATCTGTCCAAATGAGATGGAGCTATCAGATATTCATTAGCAAATTAATTAATTGGAGATTCAGACAAGGATTTTAATTTAATATAAGCTGTTAAAAGCCCCATGTATTGAGTTTGAAGATCACAGCAAAAGAAATACAATATTCAGTTTTTCCATTAGTTGTAATGAGTACTGGAAAACAGATCTGTAACAGTAGTTGCTAAGTAAAGAGGTTTTTATTTTTTTTTTAAATTGGACAGATGCTGATTTCAAAGCTGGAGAAGAATAAAGCCATGAAGTCGGAAGACAAAGCAGAAATCATGAAAACACTGGAGATTTTGACTAATAGCATTACCAAATTAAAGGATGAATTAAAAGGTGTATCACCAGGAGGAGGGGCTCCTTTAAAAAGCATGAAAACTAAGACTCAGGTACTCAAGTTTTGGTCAGCTTTTTGATAAGATGAATTCACATGCTTATGTCAGCAGAATAAAAATATGCAGCCGCATCAGCAGTATTTAGAACCATACTGGTTTAATTCTGAAGTCTTCTTTGAAGTGAGATTGGTTTTGCGCTCTTTTGACAGGAACATAGTTAATTTTAAAACCATGCTGTTGTGTAAAAGGTTTGTCCACTCTTACACAGGTATTACATCATCTGGACAATCAAAAAAACCTCTTATTTATTTTGCCTTATCTGATCTTTTGTCTCTAGTCTATTGCTTTCTTAAACTTTTAATAGAAGTCATGAGAATAGTATTTCTTATGCAAAAGGATTATCATTATGCAAAACATATCTCCTGGTCAGATTTAATACACGAAACAAACTGCTTGATGAAATTAGTTGACTACTGTACTGGTACATAATTTTCTGGGGTTTTTTATGTCACTGAAATTTTTCAATATATTAAGCTTTTTAGATGGAAGATTATACTGGTCAGTTTTTGTTTGGTCTAGCTACCCATGTTTGGGTTGAACCTGTGAGAGGAGTTTCCCTTCTCTGCTATCATTCTGGTTAGTATATGGCTATAACCGGTTTCCCAACAGCTTAAAGATGCAATTATATTACCTTTTCAAAATGCAGAATTTTGCATTTTATGGAAGTATTTGCTCTTAAACAGGTCACAAGGTGATTGAGAATTAAGTGAGGCTTTGAGAAATAACAATTTAAGAAATTAATGTGTTCTTTTAAACACATTACAAGCTTTTCTTGCTTTATTGAGGATGTGCATAGTGATAAAAGAGCAGATAGTTGTACGGTGTATTTTCCATCAGAAGACAAAAAGCCTTGATCTTTTCTTGCTGTTCTCATTCAGTTCTTAAATCTTCAGAATGCTTAGTCTTCTAATGTTTGACATTCTGTTTAAAAAGCTGATGTAACATTACAACCCAGATTTACTTTAAATGGATCATTAGTTTTCAGTTTGAAACAGCATTTCTGCTGCTTTATTTTACATAGAAATACAGGCGTGTTGTGTTTTAGTCCCAGCTGGCAGCTATGCAAGGTACAGCTGCTCACTTGCTCCCGCACTCCCCAGGTGGGATGGGGAGACAATCGGAAAAAAACCTTGGCGGTTGAAATAAAAACAGTTTAATAGCACAGCAAAGCAAGGGCAAATAATAATAGAGAAAGGAATATACAAAAACAGGTGATGCACAGTGCAACAATTGCTCACTACCCGGTGATCAATAGCTGATCCCCAAGCAGTGATTCCTGCCAAAACACAGTACTGTACCAGCTATTAAGATGAAAATTAACTATATCCCAGCCGAAACAAGGACAAGACAACTGCAGTGTAAACTACAGTGATTTCAAAAAGAAATATCAAAAAGAAATACTGAAATGACCTGTATGTATTCACCGTAGCTTTTTAGATCATTCATCACTCGGGAAAAAGTTGAGGCAGCACATTTTTGTTCTGAAATTGGACATAGATTATAACTTCTTGAAGTTAGTTTATACCTCTTAAAACAACTTCAGTTGCAGTGGAGTGCAGTACTGTGTTTTGGAGACGGAACTAACTGTAATAATCCCAGAATTCAGACACTGCTAGAATAAGATTAAATGTCTCTTTTTTGGAAGATGAGACATGAGGGTTTTTTAGTACGTTTTTGGCAGAGAGTGGACGTTGTTTGGTGAGAAAATGTTTCTGAGAGATCTGAAGGAAGTTACCTACCTGCAGAGTAAATTTGAACTGTAAAAGTCCCAGAAATTGGCAATATTTTCAAAGCTTCATTTGACTGTTAAAGCCTCTCATGTTTTTGAGAAATACTCTTCTGCTGGTGGACAGCACTGCATAAATTTGAACAGGAAGAAGAGTTCGTAATAATTTTGATCCAAAAATAACAGTTGGTTGTGGGTTTCATCACATGCAAGGGGAAGAATCCAGACCCATAGAAATGAAGAAGCAAGTTGCATCATGAAAACTTTGCAAATTCTTGACTAGAAAATTGTGAATACAGCATTTTAACCCGTGACAGTTATTTTGCCCCGAGAGTGGCCCAGTAAATTCTTAGAGTTGACAAGAAAATAGTCCAGTAACACAAAATCGCTCAAAATGGTTGAGATGGAAAGGTATCTCTGGGGATCATCTTGCTCCATCACCAGGCACAAGAAGAGTCTGGATGTCTTCTTTACTCATCCTGTCCCCCCACCGCCTTCTCATGCTGAAGTCAAACATTTCCAGCTCTGTCAGCCTCTGCTCATAATAGTAGATGCTCCAGTTCCTTAAGCATCTTTGTGGCCTTTTGCTGGACTCTCTCCAGTATGTCTCCCTTATGCTGGGGAGCCTGGAACTGGACACAGCACTCCATACGTGGTGTCACCACTGCAGAGTAGCAGAGAAGGATCACCTCCCTTGATCTGCTGGTGGTGCTCTTCCTAATGCAGCCCAGGAGGCTGTCAGCCTTCTTTGCCTGAAGGACACATTGCTAGCTTATGTTCAACAACAACTCTGCTACCCCTCAGGTCCTCTTCATCTGGGCAGACCCCAACCTGTACTGGTGGATGGGGTTATTCCTCCCCCAGGTACAAGGACTTGACATTTCCCTTTGCAATGCAGGAGGTTCCTCCTGCCCCATTTCTCCAGCATGTCAAGGTCCTTCTGAATGGAAATGCAACCAGCTCATGTAGCAGCCACTCCTCCAAATTTTTTGTTGTCCATGAATTTGCTGAGGGCACACTCTTGTCTTACCATCCAGGTCACTGGTGTACATGTTAAACAGTATTGGCCGTTGGGGTTCATCACTAGTGACTGGTCTCCAGCTGTTTTTTCTGCTACTGATCAGAACCCTCTGAACCCAGCAGTTCAGACCGTTTTCAGTCAATCTCACTGTCTACCTATCTATTTAGCACTTCATCCTTTTGGCTGTGAGGATGTTATGGACGACATTATTGATAGCCTTACTGAAGTCAGGCTAAACAACTTCCACTCTGCTCTTGTCCCACAAGCCAGTCATCTCATTGTAGATGGCCGTGTTAAGGTTAGTCATGATTTCTCCTTCCCTTTCCCCAATCACTTCTTGTTCTTAACATGCTTGGAAATGGTTTCCAAGATTATTTGCTCCTTTGTTGTGATGAGGCTCACCAGCATGTAGTTCCCAAGATGTCTGTGCCTTTCTTGAAGATGAGTGACACTTGCTTTTTCTCACTCCCAAGGGACCTCCCCCAAATGCCATGACCTTTCAAAGATAATTGACATTGGCTTTGCAATGACATCAACAAGCTCCCTCACTATGTATGGTTGCATCCTATTGGATTCCAGGTATTTGTGTATGTCCAGTTTGTTTAAATGTTTCCTAACTTGATTCTCTTCCAACAAAGGTAAGTATTTCTTGCTCCAGGCTTTTCCACTGGTCTCAGGATGTGGGATTGCTGAAGGCAAGTCTTTCTGGTGAAGACTAAGGATTAGGAGGTTTTAAGTATCTTGACCATTCTTGTGTCCTTTGTTGCCAGGTCCCCTTTCACATTCAGCAGTGGGCCCACATTTTTCACAGCATATCTTTCCTTTTGTTGCTGATAGGCCTGCAGAAGCCTTTCTTCTTGTTCCTCACCCGCCTTGCCACATTCAACTCTAGGTGGGCTTTGGCTTTCCAAGCCAGAGCCTGCATGTTCAGACAGTTTCTCTATATTCCTTTTGTGATCTGACCCTGCTTCCACGTCTTGTGTACCTTGGGTTTGGTTTTAAGTTTTGTTAGGAGCTCCTTGTTCATCCAGGCAGGCCTCCAGCCACCTTTGCTTTATTTCCTGCATGCTCTGGAACTTGAAGGATGTGTTTCTTGAAAATCATCCTTTCTTTCCAGCAGATATCCAGGCCCATGGTCTTCAAACAGGAGGCTTCTTCCAACTGTCCGAAGGCAGCCTCATCTGCTTCTCCTACCTAATGAGGCAGTGTGTGGTACACATCCCCACTGCAACATCACCCGCATAGGTCTGCTGTCTTAATCCTGACTCATAAACTTTCAACTGGCTCATCATCTGGCCCCAGGCAGAGATCCATGCATTCATACTGTGCTCTCACATAGAAGACAACTCCTGCTTCTCACCATCCTGGCTTGTCTTTCCTTAAGAGACTGTATCTGTCCACTGCACCATGCCAGTTGTGTGAGTTTTCCCACGATGTTTCTGTAGGCCTAGTGAGATTGTAGCCCTGTAACTGTGCACCGACGACTAATTCCTCCTCTTTTGTTTCCCATGTTGTGTGTATTAGTATAGGCTCTTCAGAGAGGCAATGATTTCCCAGAAAATAAGTGAGTTCTTCCCTGGTGATACTGTTATGTAGGCCCTCCCTCATTTATGTGGATTGGTGTGTGTATGTTTGAAGTGGTACCCCTTCAACCCAGTTTGTTGATCTTGAGATCTCTTCTGCCCACATCACTCTGCTTGACCACCTGGTCCACCATCTCCTTGTGTGATTGTTGTTTTTACTTAGTAAAGTGAGGTGGTATGCTAATTTGAATTACAGTTTTAATGAAGTTCTTGAGCTGGTTTTCCATTTCCTTTGTAATATGGAAAGTGAAGAAACACTTTAAGCAAACCCATTTCATAAATGACAAAATACCTGAACTGTAGAAAAGTTGGTTTTATTGACAGCTTTCCTCTCAGGGAGACTGTGCCTTGTCTGTGAACACTGTTAACATTAACATTGAAAGAGCGAAGACAATCAGTCACATCTGACCCTTGTGAAAGTGAGGAATTAACAGAGCCTTTGCTTAAAATTTACAACTTCCATAATTTCTGAAAGACTTTGCTCTAGGTTCTCTTGCATTTTCTTAGCGTTTAAAACCTGGGCAGCTCAGAAGACCCTGCAAACTTTAAGATGAGGCCCATGTGACTGTGCCATTATCTTTATCTATTTTTGTCTGGTTCCAGTTCATGCAGATTACAAAACACCATTCCCCCATGAGTGTAGAAACTTTTGCTGCCTCATGGTGTATGTTGAAGGAGGTATTTTCTTCTTGAGACCTGATACAGCTCTATAAAAGAGAAGTCTTCATTAAGACCACTAGAAATAATACCCAAAATTCTAGACACTTCCTTGATGACACCAGTGTCACTGGCTGCTTTGTGAGTTCTCACTGCTGGTCATGATTAAACTTCAGAAGTGGTTGTTTTGCCATATCATTGGTGTGCTGCAACATGGTGGGATTTGAGAGAAACACTGTTTCCAATTTTGAAAACTTTGAAAACCATTATGCAGGAAATAATGGATTTTTTTTCTGTGGTTGCTGTAGATAATCAGAAAATGGGGCTGAAAGGGGTTTAGGTTGAAGTTGCCAGTTGAATAATCCAGCTTTTTTTCTTTTAAAGCTTCCAGGAAAAAAACAAAGAAACAAAAAACCCCCTTCTTTATCATTCAGTGGTGATACTTGGTTTCCAACTGTCACAACTGCGAAACCTTCATCTCTTGACAACCAGCCTTTGAATACATTACATGCTGTGGTTCTGAATCAACGGGTGTAAATGTAAAACTGTTTCACAATCATCTATAATTTTATCCTTCATTTGTGATGTCACTGGAACATTTGGCTGCTGCTTTTTCCATTTAAAAAAAAAAAAAAAAAAAGCAAGCTTCCAATTTGGAATAGAACTTCAAATAAAATTTTCATGGTCACATAAAGCCCTTTCCTGTACCAGCACCTGCACCTCAGTGGTTGCAATGAACATGTCTAAATTTGGGTTCAGAGACACCTTTGCATTTCATAGATATTTTTGAACTTTCTGATAATTTTTGTTAAGGTACTGTGTGCTGGAAGGCAACTCCAGGTGCATCAGAGACCAGCCTTTTGTTAGCAGAGGTCTTGTAACTGTTTTTTCTACTGTGGTCTGAACAGAACTACCATTTGTGCTTTTTCCATTATGGAATTGTGATAAACATAGAAGCTTTTTCTTATTATTAATTACAGATTTTGTATTCATTCATAATTGTAATGCTTTTTTTTTTTAAGACTCCGTTTTTATCTCATCATCACTACCATATAATTTTGCATTCTCTATTTTGTGTATTTCTAGTTTAGAAAAGATTCCATTGGCTTTGGCTTTGTGTGGTAGTCTAAAAGTTTTGACATCACCAAGCTCAGAAATGTACTACTACACACTGAAGTTTTATCTTGCCAAGAAGGCTCCTAAGCTTGTGCTTGGTTTGTTTTTGAAGATGGAAATCTAGTGTAGTAAGCAGTATACCTGCAAAAGTTACAGCTGTGATCTGAATAATAAGCCACAACTTGGGTTAAGTTTAAAATTTCACTATACCTTCTAGTTTTCAAATTCCCTTTCTTCAGAGTTTCTAGGAATTTATTTTCCAGATAGAGGTGCTATGGCAGACTACTACCTTACCTGGAGGCCAATGCTGGCCAATCTTTTAAGTCGCGGGGTATTTCTGAAATAGCCTGCTGATAGGAGCATAGTAGTAGATTCTTGGATTTTATCAGGAATTTTTTTCCTCAATAGAGAACGTGAACTGTGGAACTAATAATTTACCGTAACGATTTCTTAGATGCAGAAAGAGTTACTAGATACTGAACTGGATTTATACAAGAAGATGCAAGCTGGGGAGGAAGTTACTGAATTAAGACGAAAATATACAGAGCTACAGTTGGAAGTATGTTTGTCTCTTCTTTTGTAGCTATTAACTTTTAATCAAGTATTTTCATATAAGTTTATTAGCTTGTGTATTGTATCATAAACTTTTTTTTCCAGAGTGCAATATTAAGTTGCATGTAGATGGAGACATTTAGCAATAACATTTTTTAAAAATTAGTCTCTAATTCCAGTGAGGAAGAGAAGAAGTATTGTCTTTAATTTTGATTGCTAATGCATTTAAATTCTGTAACTATTTAGATGATGTGATATTTTGTAGATTTGTGGTAGTAATACGTGAGAGCGTGGAGTGTTTTTAAATTGTTGCCTGTAGGTGGTGGTGTGTTAAAAAACACTGCTTGTTCTTTTATTCTTAAGTGTTAGTGTATTAAGCTTAAGTGTATTCTTAAGCTCATCTTCTTAAAGAGATGAGCCAAAAAGGCTGAAGTGCCAGAAGTAATACTGTTACAGGATTGGTTTAAAGAGGAGAACTTACCAAAAGTAAATACAATGTTTCAAGAAGTGTGTAGAAACATGTTTTTTTCTAAAGTACTTTTGAAAAAATTCACAAGACTCTGCAAAGGTCTTCATATCTGTGTCTTATTTTGAGAAATTCTAAATGCTGTGGGTGTTATTCTGTGTTATATAGGCAAGACAGTGCCATATGGTTGTGTAACATCTACTGAATTGCATGATAATCTTCTCTTTTTACTGTTAAGCAGGCTGCTGTGTCACTTAAATCCCTGTTGTCTTAATGAAGTTTGATCATGTCTTATGTATAACTACATATGAACACAGTGCACATATATACGGCTAAGTTGCATTAAAATCCTACTTTAAAACTAAGTTGTTATGCAGCTTTGGTAATTGTGAAAATAGGTTTGTTAATAAGCCAAGCCAGTTGAATACAAGTGACATAAAAGCTTATGTTAGCAATATATATTCTGATGGTGAATAGTATTTCATAGGTGTACTGAAAGCTTATTTATAAATCGTACATTTTAGGAAATAAATTGAATGATCTGTAAAACAGCAGTAGAAAAATAGATTCTTGTTCAAGATAAAGTTGCACCATAGTTTAAGTGTCCTAAGACTACTCCATCTCTCACTGAGTCTGAATTTCAAATTGGAAAAAAAAGTGTAGCTCTTTCAGGAATATAATTTTTGCTAGTAAAATGAATATTCTGAGGCCTTTAGCAAACTGATCAAAGTGGATGGAGAAAAGCAGGGTTATTAGTAAAGCATACCAGTATGTTTCAAGGAACAGCATGAAATGTGTCCCTTGTAAAATGTACAACAGGGATGTGGGGGGTTTTTCTCTTGATGGTTGTTTGATTCTTTAGAAAAACTTTTATTCACACGCTGTCTTAGTGACTCTAACAGCCACAACATACGTGTTGCTTCTGTGGCTCATAACCTGCTGTTCTGTTCCAGGTGGCCCTGATTTTACTGTGAGAAAATCCAAACAGTGTACAGCTTTATTGTTGTGTCAGCATAATCTTTAACTTCCTGGATTATTCATTTAATCATTTAAAGAAACACAAAACCTCCAGGATTCTCTTTACAAAAAATAAAAAGTGATACTATTGTATAATTATCTGAATAATTTAATTAATAAAGTCATAACAGATTGATCTCCTCATGGATGATATCAATGGCACACATTACAGTAGTACTATAGTGCTTGAGTTGTAAACACTGTAGCATGTGTTTTAAAACATTGTTATGGTGATTTCATTTAACACTTGATTCCTACATCAGATTTGGGATTGCAAAGATTTTTTCTTTTTCTTGTTATGAACATTGACATTAAATCCTTGAAAGTGCTTTTCTGAAAATTCTGAAAATTACTTTTTAAATGGCTGTCAGAGATACTGTCTTTGGCTTTTGACTTATCTTGGAACGTCGATGCCTATTCTTTAAAAGGGATACACTGATATTGTGGGAATGGAAATTAATGAATACATAGAGCCAAATTTTTAGCAAATACTTTGTCCTTGGAGGTGCTTGTTGGAGCTTCTGTTTCATTCTCACAATTTTGTGGTGAAAAGCTATTATGCTGCATTAATTCTGGTCAGAATAAAAGTTCTGGCTGGACTTCCAGAGACAAGTCAAGAGGCAAAAATAAAGAGACAAACTAAGTAGTTAGTCACCACATCAAGGAAATATGTTAATGAAAGTTCAAATGTTGCACTGCAGTTCCTTTCTGCTCTGAGGAATTATCCTTACAGATAAGGGTTCTTTTTAATATCTGTTTTTAATACCTGGTTCTTTTTTCCTATTTCCATCCTAATTTTTATCTGTTAATAATTAACAGTATTAGCTTTTAAATGTTATTAATATGTTCACGTTTTGTTATTTTAAGACCTATAAGCTGCTCTTTCTGAGGCTTGTTTGGGGATGTGTTTTTAGGAAACATCAGAATATGTGTTTGTTAATTTTGTCTAAATATTTAGATTATGAATTTTAATACATCAATGTGTTATGTATAAACGTCTTAGGCTGCCAAACGAGGGATTCTTTCTTCAGTTCGTGGTAGAGGGGTTCATGCAAGAGGTCGGGGTGCATCACGTAGCAGAGGTAGAGGAATACGAGGCCGGGGTAGAGGCAGAGGCGTTCCTGTGCATGCAGTTGTGGATCATCGACCTAGGGCATTAGAAATCTCTGCATTTACAGAAAGTGATAGAGAAGATCTTCTTCCTCATTTTGCGGTATGTGGCAATTTCACTTTTCCTGTTCTTTGGATGACATTCTTCCATTGAATGACTTGTTTTCTCTTGATGCAATTAATCTGGAAATATTTAGGAATGAAACTTTAACATGATACACTTGTTCATGGGAAAAGAAGATGCATCAGAAAAAGGTGAAACAAAGATAAATTACAGCATTGACTGAACTAGTTCTAATTAACCACATAGCATTTACAAGGCTTCGTTTATTTCTTAAAAAGAAAGGAAATTGGGCATATAAAGTAATGACTTAAAATATTTATTTGTTCAGGGTATCTGTAAAATTGTTACGAATTTTTAGGTATAGAAAGATAAAATAACTAAAGGGATGGTGAGAACAAAACCTGATTCAGTGCCAAACTTTCAATACCTGAATACCTGCTTATCTTTATTGAAGTAACCTAACAAGTTGCTTAATGAAAATTTTCAGTGCTTTTGCATAACTTTCTGAATTTAAGAATCAAGGTGAGAATTGTGCAGCCATGTGCAGATCTGTGCCAGAAGTTTCTGTCTGTTCATCTCTGTAAGTTTAAGGACTCAGAGCTTTTTCTACATTTTTTCTTTTTTTTTTAATCTAAAAAAATATAAATTTGCATACATAATTTTTAGCAACTTTTTATTTGCAAATATAATAAAGTGAGAAATCAACATAAACTTATAAAAACCCTTATCTGCCATTAAAAAAAGGTTATAATAAAAGAACGTTTGTTTGTTTTGTGGAATGAATGCTAAAACTGTATAGTGGCATGAATTGTGTGAATCTTCGTCTATGTCCACCCCTCCTGTTGTTTGTGCTGTTGTTCCCCCCCCTCCCCAGTGTGGTCCTCTCTGAAGGTAGAAGTCCAACAGTAAGTCCAGTACGTTCTACTCCAGTCAGCATACTTAATATTTCCTGTCTGGCAGCCATGGAAGCAGCTTTTCAAAAGAATAAGAGCCAACAAGGACCTGTCTCTCCTTTTTCAAACAAACAAACAAAAAACCTCAATAAAAATCAAACTGAAGAACTCCACTATTATACTGGCTTCTTTAACATGTTCTGTTTCCAGGAGATAGATATAGAGATACAGCTATATATAGATATAAAATACATAAATATACATATATATTTTGTTCCACATAAATACACCGCATCAAACCCATATAGTGGAACAAAAAGGAACCATCATACCCATAAGGGGAACAAAATTATTTCCTGTGTAAATGAATGACAGACCAAACATTTATACATACATACATAGGTATGATGTGTATTTAAGGGGAACAAAAGTACTTTCTATAGAAATGTATGATGGACTGAACATTTGAGCAATGACTTCACAAATTTTTCATGTAAAACTAAGAACATCAGATTTTAAAATGAAACAACACAATTCACTTGGTCAACCGTAGGATGTTTCTGAGTCTAGTTTCAATTATAAGAAAAAATTTATTTTTAATCTACAGTATTATTTTGTGATTTAGCCTGCCTTATCAATACTGCTGAAGTAAATTTTGCTTTTATATTTTTAATTTCATTACTTCTCTTGCTGACTGCAAAGAATATAAAAACAAAGACAGAGAATCTGCCACTGTTAAAAGCTTGGTGTGAGGTGTCAGTTTATGGTCATAAATTTTCCTAGAATTCTAGCATTTTCTTATACTTTGAATTTATTACAGGGAGTATTAAACTTACTATCTTTAACAAACAAAAATATTAACCATAAAAAACTTAATAGCGTCAACAAATACAATTTTATTCACAGTGTTAGTAGTGTAACACTGAGAAGAACGTTAATTATTTCATTTTGCAGATTGTACATTTGCTGTATTTAAACTTGCTCCAAATTCCGTGGAAATGTACTGAGCTGTATTTCTGTTTCTGTCATAATGATATCACAGCTCTGCACATCAGCAGTGCATTCCACCTGTACAGATGTGTTGGGATTTGCAGCTTACAGTGATGGCAGCATTAAAGGTAGCAATACCATAGAGACCATTACAGGAATAGATGGGCCAGATTCTTAAGATGCTGAAATCAAGTTAAGTTTCAAAAAACTTTTTCTACAGTCCCTGCATCTAAAATCTTTTTGTGGAAATGTTTCATAAAGACTAATGGAATCATCTCAAGATCCCTTCTTTCTGATCAAGAGAGAAATATTGAAGCAGAAGAACCTTTTTTTCTGTCATAATTTTACTTACACACGTATATTACAATGAGGAAATCCAGAGACTACAGCACTTCTGTGTTCTAGAAATGCAAATAAAAGTAACTATATTCTTTGCAAAGACAAGTACTCTGGCACTAAGGCTGTGAAAGGTACACTATTCTAATTTTATATGATTTTTGAGGGCATTTTATTTAGGACAGCATTTTTAGAGGTGGAGAACTATGTCACTAAGCTTTTTTTCTATTTATTAAAAGCAATATGGTGAAATTGAAGATTGCCAGATAGATGACTCTTCTCTCCATGCGGTGATTACCTTTAAAACAAGAGCAGAAGCTGAAGCTGTGAGTATAGTCTATTGAAAATACTCTGCGACATTCAACTACTTTCTAGTTACATTATACTTCTATATTTGGTTAAATGTAATACTGCTAATTATTTTAAAACATCTTAAAAGAAGTCTGACACAAAAGTTTAGTTCTCAATAAAACAAATCTGTCAGAACAGCATATTACTGAAATACTTAGGGAATGAGGATGTTTATAGCAAACTCAAGTACAGGATGTAAGAGAGAATTTAAGAGAAACACTTGCGAATTGGTAACTGGATGTCTTGGTTTATCTTTATTTAATTGCCAGTTTTTTTCACCTGAAGACTTCATACCTTTATAATCTTCCCAAAATTTCACTGACATACTGCAGAGTGAACCTATGTATTTTATTTGGGATCAGTTGGATTTACCTTTGCCTGAAATCTTGTGATAGTGTTTGATATGATGGGATTTTCACACAGCCCCTTTTTTTTCTTTTTTAGCATATTTTTTAGAAATTTAGGAAACTACAGAAGTATAGAATTATAGGAGTAACTTTTAGAGACTAAAATCCAGAGTTGATGTATGTTGTAGTTCAGCACCCTTACATAGGGGTTATTAGGACTTCATACACTTGGCTCAGCGGGACGCCTGCCTTACTGCCTATACCATGGACTGAATATGTGAACCTGCGCAAAATAGCCAACATAGTTATTCTGCAAATGATTTTGTTTTCTTTAAAATCCTTGCATCACTGTTGGGAAGGAAGTATCCTGAAAATAACAGGGACTCTAGAATGAATGGATTCATATTTACTATGTGGTTCTATGGAAAGATGTCATTTTATGTTTATATTTTGCACAAAGTTCAGCTTGTGGGGTTTACTTGAACACAATTTTCATACCTGGCCAGACTCTTCTCTTTTTATATGCTTTACCTTGAGACACCAGTGACCTGATTGACAGAAATACTGATATTTACAATGCAAATTAAGCAAATGGGGACAGTAATTTTGAACACTTACAGTATCATTATGGTTACATATTCTGAGAAACAATTTGATGCATGTGCTAAAGGTGTTTTATGGAAACACAGAAATTTTGTTTGTTAAACTCTTAGATATAACAGTGATGAGGACTGCCTATATGGAGATTGTTATCGTTCTGTAAAAAAGGAAGTGTAATTAGTAGTACATAGTATATGCTGACAGATAGGGAAAAATAGTACTGTACAACTGTATTGAAGGAACACAGTTCAACAGAAGTTCTGTGAAGAATAAGAAATACCTGCTAGCAGAAAAAAGCTATTGTAGTTAATTCAGTCCACTTGTGAGTGTACTAAGTTTGGAATTTTAGTTTTGGTGCTTCATGACATTGGGTACTACATTTTGGAACTTCATATTCTCTGACTTTGTAGTTTACATTGGTAATATTCTAAGTATCGAGAGGAACTTCTGCTTCCCTAAAAATAAAAATAGGTAGGCTACAACAATAATCTGGTTTTATGGACTGTCCAAATAAAGTCTTTACTTCTTCCTGGTGGAGTATGATTCACAACAAGGAACTTGACAGTATCGTACTACAGATACTTGTTTATCAGCAAAATACAGTTTTTACTGTTATAATTTGTTTTGCCTAAAAATTGACATGGATAATCATTTCAGCCTTAGCTAAATTTCTGTACCCAAAAAGCAGGGAATGGTAGTATTTTGGAACCAAACATAGAAGTGTAGAGATAGGAAGTTGAAAAAGAAGGTAGTGCAGAGAATGAAGAAAGATGTGAGCAGGGGGAGAAGGGAGATGTGTTTGGTGGAAAGGTTGAAGTCAACATTATGTACTTCTCTTTATTTTCTTTTCTTCTTTTTTTTTTTTTTATGGTGCATTTCACTGCATTTGAAAAGCAGTATGGTTTTCTCAATCACGCTCAAATAGAATAGGTGGAGTTTCCAAGCTGTATTCAAGGTGAAGTTCAGAATATGCTCTGGAAAGTGGGGATATTTTAACTGGGTCAGAATTTAAGACGGATGTGTGAGATGTCCACATTCTGATTAGCATTAAAACTTTTAATTGTCGAATGACTTCATGTCTAATTGCACCTTCATTTTAAATTTTTTCTTTAAACTGTGTTTGATCAAATATAGTAAAATCTTTAGTTTTTCCTTAAGATGTTCTGATATATTAAATATATTTCCACTGGAATTTCTGTGTTTACTACTAAAGCAGACTTTAAGGCTGGCAATTGGAGAAGTTGTAGAAGGTAATCATTAAAAACCTCTGTTGAGGCCAATTTTGAAGTAAATGCAGCTAATATTTTACCTTCTTAAATGAAAATAGACCTAAGCTTTATGACCATATATGTTCTAGCCTGGAAGGAAGAGGAGGATTCCCTATTGTAAAATGTTGCATTCTTATGTAGTAGTAATTTCTTCCAAAGATTACAAGTTGTTTCTGGACCTAAATGTCACATATAAGTACTTTTCAAAATTCTAGTTGTATGACATTGTGATGAGACCATGGACAAAAAGCTCCTGAGCTGCATTTTAATAAGCATAGAATCTTTTAAATTTATCATAAATTTATATGTACAGATTTAAAATTTATACCTGGGGACTTTAATATCACACAATTCATGTTCAGATGTCATTGAACATGTAATTGTTTCTACATTTCACATTATGCTGTGCTTTCAGATTGTACTATAAATCTTTTGTGACCATGACGGTTATTTCGGAATGTTGCTAACACTGATTTATGCTCATTCATGTTACTTTAATTTGAACATACTATTTCCAAAGCAGGCACTTAATGCAGCTGGTACTTAGAAAGGCATGAATATCCCATAAGTTAAAAATTTTTACATTTCAATTACAATGGCTTTACAGGCAGTGGAACATTTTCCGGTAGATTAAGTTATAATCACAAAGGGACTTTTTTTAGTTGTTTGCCTTTTTGTTTTGTTTTAGTTTTTTAATATATTGAATTATTTGTATTTGTGGGATGTCTTACTTATTCCAGAATGTTATGCATTAACAGTTTTGTGTTCGTCTTTGAAAGGTGAGTAACCCATCAATGTAATATTTAAAACCGGGAGGGTGTTGGTTCAGTATGTTACCCACATCACTAAATGATTTATGGTGTTCAAAACTTATTTTCTTCTGAATATATTTTGATCATTTTCCTGAAAGCATGTGTGAATTCCATGTGCAGTGAATGGAGTTGTTTTGTTTTAACCTGTTAATAGTAATTCAGTATGAACGTGTTACAACTTAGATTTTCTTTTGAAAAAGCAGGCTTTTGGTTTATTTCTGACATTTAAGTATTACTGAAGTTATTTTCTCCTCTGACAAAGAAATATATAGCTAAAATGTTTAAACTTGTTTTAGGCTGCAATTCATGGATCTCGTTTTAAAGGACAAGAGTTAAAGTTGGCATGGAACAAGCCTGTTGCTAGTATGTCAGCTGTTGAAACAGAAGAAGCTGAACCTGATGAAGAAGAAGTAAGCTTGCTTTTTTGTTTTTTCTTTCATTTTTCTATTTAAGGTTAAATAATGTAATTCTTTCAAAAGAAAATGATTTGTTGATTCATACATCTATTTTTGAATCTAAATCATGGTTTTGATATCAGAAAGTGGAAGAAGTCAAGTGATCTTTTTTCTAATTCATTTACTGTCAGTTAACTGTATATACATAATTGCCATAGAATAGCTGAAGTAGAAGTACACCTTGACTTGGTGATAGTATTTTGTCTATATCTTTCTCCTATATTTTGGCAAGCCTACCATAGAAGCAGCTTCACAAGATTGTTTTGATATAACCAAATTCTGTTATTCTTTTTACATTTATACTATTCACTTCCTGTTTTTTTTTTTTTCACTGAAGAAAGCCAGTTTGTCTGTTTCTGTCTCCAAAAATGGTAATTCTTTTAGTGTGTCAGCCAAAGACAGGTAGACTACCTTCACCACTGTGTATTTATATTAGGCATTGATGCATTCTGACTTATTAAACATTACTTTCCTTGTATATGCAAACCTCAGACATTGTCAGATAGTAATGAGCCATGAGTGAACAAGAGGCTACATTGGGGAATTGTCAGAGCATCTTGATATTTTGTCACTTCTCCTTCAGGGATGTATTGCTGTGAAGATCAACAGCAATGTTGCTGCAAGGAGTCTACCTTATTGAGAGGTCTCATTGAGTAACAACTTCACTGAGACTTGTCCATTTTGCATAATGAAGGAAGGGCATGGAGGGATATGCAAACACTTCAGCAGAGTAAAGGAAGGAACGTACAAATTCATTGGTAGGTGAACTACAGTGAGATTCATCTTTTAACCCCACCTAACTGAGTGTAGGAGGGGATCTCTGGGGTATAGTTAGTGAGGGAAACGGAATGAAGATAGTAACAAGCAACATGTACTGGCTGCCCTGGCAAAGGGGCAGGACAGATTTACAAAGACCTAGGTGTCTTTGATTTACAGATTTACAAGACAGATTTACAAGCCTAGGTGCTTGATGACATCTTGTCAGCTGAGAAGTATTTGTGATAGTGGGATACATCTATTTTAGGTGAGGGTCATTCTCCTAAACAGGAGTCAATGAGGCATGGAAAGAAAACTCAGGGAAAAGACTGCATGCGACTGTTTTCCGTAATTCATAAATTGATGGACTCATCTAAAAGTTTGCAGAAAATTTTCAAACTTTAAGTAAAAAGAGGAATTGATGGGTTTTTTGTTATTAAGAAATAATTTCATTATCTGAATGTTTACCTTTATTGTAGATATCTTTTTTTTTTCCCTGGCCATTTATTTTTCTAGCACTTTTCTTAAGAGATCTGATTTTTGTTCTTTAATTTAACTGTTTTTATTTGTCTCTGGACTCTTTCTGCAGTCATTTCTTGGCTAGTTGTTTTTGTGAAAAATGTATAGGAGTTGATCTTGGATCAAAATCCCTAGCTGTTCATTGCTTTTGTATGCTTGCTGAAACCTTTGTAATAGCAAATGTGTAATAAAAAAATTAGTTTATCTGTATTTTTGTTAATAAATAACATTGTAAATAAAATAAATACAATGTTTATAAATAACATTGTAAGTAAAATTTGTAAATAACTCTTGGCCCAGCACTTAAATTTTTTTTTTTTAATTTAACATGAGTGATATACTTACCTTTGACCCTTTCCCATTTTCAAAACAAGCCAAATATATGTAGGTGTCCTATCTTCTTTGTGTAATTAGATTAGATTTTATTTGAATTTTCTACAGCTGAATTATTTCGCCTAACCTTCACTAAATTTTTTTACACAAGGGATTTCTATTCCATAATTCTTGGGGAATTTTGCATTTAAACACCATTCTTTCCATCTGTGAGCTTTGTATTGCTTCTAGCATTTGGCTAAGTTAGTACATAAGTATAAAGTTATGATCCTCGGGTCCCAGATGAATGAGTTCAAGAACTTCATGTTCATGTGCTGAAGTTTCAACCAATTGCATAAAAGAAATTTTACATAGTTTTATTATTTAAAATTTGATACTTACACAGGAGTAGGTGGGGGATGGGGCAGGTTCTTATAGTCAGTGACTTGAGTGTCAGTCATACATTCTTTATATATGTAAAATGTATTGAGTTTCTGCATGCCTACAATTCATCATGCTTATTTATTGTATAGCAGCTATTGTAAACACATGAAAAACATTTCCTTCATTTTTCCATGTCTAAACTACCATTTTTGTTCAGCTAAGGAATACTATGCTGAAGAGGAATAGCAGGCTTAAGACTTGAGTGAAACTAGGTACTTTGATGTTTAAAAAAAAAAAAAAGGGAGCTAGATCATTTTGCAGAGTGACATTCTTAATAATGAAACAGGGTTCTTAGTCCTTTTATGAAAATGAGGTAGGTCTTTTGACTTGGATGCTGTAGGAAATCTTTGGTGGGTAGCCACTTAATTATGAAAGCACCTAATCTTCCTAGATGCCTTACGTTTTACACCTGGGTGCCTAGCAAAAGACTTGACTCTGAGTCAACAACAGATGCCTAGGAAGTGTATAAAACATGTAAGTAGATATAAGCTTTTAATCATCAATTGTTTGCAGTTTGGAGACCTCTTGAATCAGAAGTGTGGTGTCTGTGTAGTTGAAAGCCTTTGATAGGTGTTTATTTCATTAATTTTTCTGGTTTCTTTGGGATCTGTATAGCATCTATAATATCCTGCAACAGGGAATGCTGCTGTTGAACTACATCTACCAAGAACAAGTATCTTTATGTGGGAACTGCCACCTGCATGTTTAATTTTGATGTTCTCCTGCTCTTGCATCAAAAAGAAAACCTATCATTTTCTCTTCGCTTTCTCTGAGGCGCTTACTATATTTGGACTCCTGTCAAACTTCCCCTCAGTTACTTTCTCTCCAGGCCAGAGAGTCCCTGTAGTTGTGCACCTTAAGACTTCTGCATTGTGCGCTGCCCAGGACTACTCTTTTTTGACAGCACTGAGCCGGCAATGTGCCCAGGTGGCCAAGAAGGCCAACAGCATCCTGGTCTGTATCAGAAATAGTGTGGCCAGCAGGGGTAGGGAAGTGATCGTGCCCCTGTACTTGGCACTGGTGAGGCCGCAGCTTGAATACTGTGTTCAGTTTTGGGCCCCTCACTACAAGAAGGATGTTGAGGTGCTGGAGTGTGTCCAGAGAAGGGCAACGAAGCTGGTGAGGGGTCTGGAGCACAAGTCTTATGAGGAGCAGCTGAGGGAACTGGGGTTGTTTAGTCTGGAGAAGAGGAGGCTTATCGCTCTCTCCATCTACCTGAAAGGGGGTTGTGGTGAGGAGGGTGTTGGCCTCTTCTCCCAAGTAACTAGTGATAGGACAAGAGGAAATGGCCTCAAGTTACGCCAGGGGAGGTTTAGATTGGATATTAGGAAAAATTTCTTCACTGAGAGGGTGGTCAGGCATTGCAACAGGCTGCCCAGGGAGGTGGTGGAGTCGCCATCTCTGGAAGTGTTTAAAAAATGTGTGGATGTGGCACTTCAGGACATGGTTTAGGGGACATGGTGGCGCTGGATTAATGGTTAGACTTGATGATCTTGAAGGTCCTTTCCAACCTAGTGATTCTGTGATTTTAATCTGCTGGATATCTAGACACCAGGGGAAGAGGCTAAGTCCTCAGAAAGCTTCTGTGTTTTAGTCTGGCTCAGAGTACCCAAGCATACATGGACAAGACAGGTCAGGTGTTGACAGAGCCACTTTTGAAAATGTGCTTTCTGCAGGCAAAAGTAATGAAGATAGTAGTTTCTCCCTCTTGTGAAACAGCCTACTGGATAAAGAGAAGGCTTAATTCTAGGCTTTCTTCAGCCTAGAGCCTCACATCTCTCCAGAAGGCTCCCTAACTTCACAAATCAACCTTCACACTTCCTGTTGAATTTGGAAATCCTGTAGCAAAAAAACTATAATTACTGGGACAAGACTAAACAAGAACATAAGTGTTGTCTGACAGCTGGGAGACTTTTAAAGACATCCTTGTGGTTTAGACCTGTCTTTAGCTGGTGCAGAAATTGCTGTGATAGAACTTTTTTGGTGATTGCACCTAAGACAGGATAGTTTATATATACACACATGTGTCTGTATGTAGACAAAAATTAAAACAACTCACTGTTTATCTTTTTTTAAACTTTGCCTCTCTGAAGCCTGTGACTGTTAACCTGAAATGTTCAGGGTTTTGTGAAGTCTCTCAAGTTACTGTGATGTTACTGAAAGCAATTGGAAATACATTAATATATTTTGTCTAAATTTCTGTAAATACTTGTCTCCCTGCCCCAATCTTTTAAATCTTTATATCGGGTTTTAAACTTGATAAAGCTGTCAAAATCAAAATGTCTCGGATTCAACGTTTTTAATACTGTGGCACAGGTGGATTAAACTCTTGTGATGAAAACAGGTGCAGTTACTGTGAACGTGCAAAACCAAACATTAGTTTTCAGTATATCATCTTAAGTTTCATGGGAACATTGCAGCTTGGGCATGAATGATATGCTGAAGAATCAGAAGAGCTGTTTAAGTATGAGGTGCATATGTCCTCATCATTTTAAAGTCCACTGAAAAGGAAAAAAAACATGTTCCATTTGCCACTTAATAATATGTGTATATAATATGTATACATATAGTTGACTTTTTTGACAGCATTACTGTTTACAATTAAAAAATAAATTTGTTTTTTATTAAATTGCGAGTAATTTGTAATTGTAATTTGCCTTTGGTGTCAGAAAATGTTAAAGAGAAACAGTATCACGTTTTTCTCTTGAAGTTTCAGGAAGAATCTTTGGTGGATGACTCGCTGCTTCAAGACGATGATGAAGAGGAGGAGGATAATGAATCTCGTTCATGGAGAAGATGATTCAACTGATCAGTGACAAAGCTAGAACTGCACCTGTGTTGCATTAGTATTACCTAATGTACTTCTGCATCTTTGTATTAAAAGGGGTTTTGTGATGAAATTGGATTCGGATATAGACTAAAAAGCAGCTGGTCAGTTGTATGTTTTGAGAGATTGATGTTTGAGTTACATTTCAGTAAATGATTGCTAAAGACATCATACTAGGAACATATGCAATGTTTTTATTACATAGTTCTACAGAAAGTTACAGAATTCTTTGGGTTCTTTGTAATTTACCGAATTGGTCAAACACAAATGGCCAAAAGTTGTTATAACATAGATAATTTTTGTTCTATTCCAGATACGGAATGAAAATTTGCATTTAAAATCTTTGTGAATGTTTTCAGAAATGAATAGATAACAGTACTAAACCGAAGTCTCTAAAGTTATGTATTCATAATATTGCATAGTAGTATGCTTAGGCTTTACTATGTACTAGCCTTTTGTTGGATTTGTGTACGTATTTTACCTATGGGTTTTAATGATAAAGTGTATGACTGCTTTGCATATAAGTCCTTATGACTTCAAGATGTTAAAAAATAAAGAAATGGAATGGTCTTCAAAAAAAAAAAAGAAAAAAAAGAAAAAAAAAGCAATAACCAAAAAAGCTAAGGCAATGGGCCTTCATAATGAAAAAAAAAAAAAAAAAAAAAGAAAAAAAAGAAAAAAAAAGCAATAACCAAAAAAGCTAAGGCAATGGTCCTTCATAATGAAAAAAAAAAAAAAAAAAAAAAAAAAAAAAAGAAAAGGAAAAAGACCGTTCCAAATGGCAACCCCCACCCCCATATTCACAAAAGGAGCTCTAATCACTATCACTTCATAGTATTGAATATAAAAAAAATCTCAACATAATGATGTTGCATTTACATTAACACACAGGTGTATCTGTTGCATAAAAGCTTTTCGATGTCTTCTGAATTTTAAACTGATTTAAGTCAAATGGTAAATAGAATAATATTCCAACAATAAGGAATTTACTTTGTATCCCTGCACTGTGCAACTGTAGAAGAAAACTTGATCCCACAAAAATATATGCAGTACTAAGATGTAATTTAGAAGAATACATTAGGTGAAGTGGAATATTTGGTAGCTATTATTCTAAAAACTTTAACTACACACACTAATGCATCTTTTTTATTCCTGTGTTTCTATGATTACATTTTTCCATTTCAAAAGTAATAGTCAGCAGATACTAAATTCACACTATCGTGTATATTCATCATTTAAAAATGTGCATACATGAAATGTTAGTACTGAGTTCCTACTCCACAGAAATACTGAATTGCCTCTTTCTAATGGGGCATTCTGTTATGTGAGGTCTAAAGTTTCTCCTCGTCTTAGGAAGGGGAACTGCCTAGTCCTTTGCAGTAAAGGACCTCTTTCACTAGAAAGACTTGTTTTTATTTCATTTAGTGGCATTCTGCTGGTCTGTTTTCAAAAGCAAATCCATTTATTAAGTATTAGGGTTGTGAGTTTTATTCCGCCCCCCATCAGCTTGTTAATGAGTGCAGCACTATCTCATTTATCAAATAGATGTAGGGGATAGTACTTGGGTTAACAGTGTATTTTCTTTAGCCCATGTCTTTGTCATTTTGTGGGGGAGCTGGGAAAGAACTGCTGTAAGTCATGTCTCTGGCCTTTTTTTTTTAAATTCCAACATAGGGATGGAGGAAAGTAGAAATAGTAGTATGCCAGAGAGAAGAGCTCCGGCTGTAGAATTTTTATTCTGTGCTTGTCAGTTATTTGACGGCTTTTTGAGACTTGGATCCTGTTTTGTTTTGTTTTGTTGGTTGCTTTTCCTACATCCCTGTGTGTATGCATATCTTGTTGCAAAAATATGCACTTAAAATTTTTGTATAGTCTTAGTTTCACATTGAAATTTCACAATTGACTGCCATGCTTGTTACAGTAAGTTCTAAATCTCGCCATAAGGAATTGGATTTGGGAAATTGATTTCCTTTTACACTGAAGTTCAGGAAAAATAAAATATTTTAAAAACCTTTTTATCTAGTGCTCTGAATGAGCTGTTCTAGTTCACTGAATTAAATACAAGCTTTCCTTCTTTTCTTTTTTAATAATTTACTACATCTGAAGGGTGCCAGACTGACAGTCTGGGAGGTGAAGGTTTTTTTGTGTGGTCTTACCAGACAGGTACAGCACAGGAAAGGACTGTCCATGCTGTCTTAAGGTAGTTCTGTGGCATGCTTTGTCTGGTGCTCAAACGTGCTTTTTCACTGCAGTCAATCAACACAAGCTAGTGACAACTGTTAATGTGGTTTTTATGTGGATGCTTCTTAGGAATCATCTGAAATTGCTGTATCACATAATTTTAAAAGTACTATTGCAAGTTTGCCTGCTTTTGAATGCAAGCCTGGCAAGGCATCCATGGAAGATTCATTTCTTAATAGCTGTTTGCTATTAAGAATAGCAAATATAATATAATAGCTGGTCTACCTGTAAGGGGGTGAAACCTTTTAAAATGCTTTTTACCACCTTCCTCCCCCAGACTTCCATCAACGAAAGGTGTCAGGGGAATTCTTACTGACATGTATTTTGTCCCTTGCTCTTACCTTGTGCCACTGAATGATTGAAAACCACCTGGATCAGAATGGCTTGGTTTACTCTCACTTTAAGAAACAAACCCAAATGTTTGTTTCAGTCAAAACTAATCTGTGAGTTGCAACCTGAATGGATTCTCTACATATATCTGTCATTATCAAATGACTTTCTTGATTTGATTTCTTGTTTGGCTTGCTCTGTCCTTGTATTCCTTGTCTAGCTCTGCTCTCCCCTCACTTTTTTACTACTACCTTAGCCAACTCTTGTCTTTTCAGTTCAGTCAGATCCTTATTAGCATAGCCTTCAGTGAAATCTGTTGTCACCTGGAGCAGCATCCTTCCTTGTTTGAATCAACAAGCATCCTGCTGACTTTCATTCCCTGCTTTACTTAGTTGATGCTTCTGAATACATTCCCAAGTATGCCACCACCATGATTAGCTAAATCATTGAATTTTTTTAACAGTTCTGAAAATGGATTTTCCTAGTCTGAAAGGCCAAGGGCGGTGTTACCTCCATTTTCTCCAGACAGATTTTCAGAAGTTCTATGGAAAAAAAGGTAAACATTTAAAGAAGGTATTTTCTTTTCCAGCTAGATACTAAAGGGCATCTAGCTGGAAAGATGAGTAAGATGTGATCTGACATGTAGTTCAATGACAGTGTTGTAGTAAACCACATTTGGTTGAACTAAAAGAAAAAATTAAGTAATGGGAGTCAATAATTCAGACTATGTAACAGTCTGTCTACAAAACAGTAAAGTAACAAGAATACCTCTTTGAAGTATTGCTTATGGACAGTGCTATTTGTATTTTTTTTTCTCTTTAGAACTTATTTCAAATCAGAAAGCCCACAGAAGAAATACAAGTTATGTATTAGTGAAACACAAAGGTAGAGAATTTATTTTGCAACTAAGTCTAAGCAGGTCTATTGCTTAAATAGAAGAACCACCCATTGAAAAGTATTTGTATAACTTCAGGCACTTAATATACATTTCTGTTCTAAACCACACTCTGAAAACAGTCTCTACTCCTTAACTAGAAAAGGAGTAAAAAAAAATTATCCAAGTAACTTAGGTATTTGGGAACAGTGCAGTACAATTGAACCTGATTTAAAACATCTGATTTTGTTGTTGACCATCTATTCTGAAGATGTCCCCACACTGGCTAAGCTTACTATTCTTGTCAGCCTGTGGATAACTTAAAAACTGTATACTTATTTGAGGTTTTTTACCATTTTTATCAATTTATCAAATTTTATCAATTTTTCATAATTATCAGTTGTCTCATGAGCATAAAAAAAGCATAGAAAGATGCACAAGAATTTGGTTTTGACTCAAGAGGATGCTCTCTCTATTTTTTAACTAAACCCTGAACTAGCAGGTCTCGCCAAAAACATACGGGAAGGGGCAGGGGATTTATTTTTTTTCTTTCACCAGTGGTGAAAGAATTTGGTATTGTTGTACCAATACACAAAGTAGCATAAAGGCATAGATGTTCAGTGAAGCGCCTCATTTACTGTAATTCAACATTGTTTTAATGTTGCAACTAAAGAAGATATAGTTAGTTTTAATCCTATACCACTTACCTTTTATTACAATCAACAAATTAAGATTAGAACAACTGGAACAAATAGCAGAAATTTGAGAGGTTTGTGGGGTGAAAAAAGTAATTAAGTCTGAAAATCTGAACAATTTTGATTGTTCTTTGTCATCCTATTCTGAGTGGAGTTGTTTCTTACTGCACTGGTGTTAATAGCACTTAATTACTTTCAAATGAACCTGTTAAGTCAGACAAATTAGAAGTTCTTGATCAAGATTTAAAAAAAAAAAAAAAATCTTTTTCAGATCAATATAGCTGTAAACTTATCCTTGGTGAAAATGGACTCTTGGTTTTTGTGGACTCATGTAGACCTTTATAAACACACTAGTATTCTTGTCACACAGTTGCCTAAGTACTGTCATTTTATAATTATTTTAATTTTTTACTTTAATATGTCTCTACATGTTTTATTCTGAACCACGTTTTAAATCTGTAGACATCAAAAATACTTGCTACAAAAACAGACATCGGTGATTTCAGTGTTTTATTTAAATTCTTTTCAGATCTAATCAGAACAGCAATGAGAGGGATTTCAAAAACATACTGCACAAGAAATTTATCTTTTTTTCCTAATGGACCATTATTTGTAAAATCCTTCTATATGTGTTAATGCTAAAGCTTATCTGTATGTTGGTACTTTGTTCTTTGTCCATGTGAGTGAAGATTAATTTTTTTTTTCTTCTTGCAGTAAGCTTGTAATCCTGAAACCAGTTGATGTCTGTCTTTGAAAATCGTCTCATCTGACCCTGTGGTATTTTATAATAATTTTGATGTTACTGTTTGAATTCCATGATCCTTCCTGCTTTGTTAGCACAACAGACTAATTCAGTTTCTCACCTTTCTCTGGCAAAGACTGGAATACCACATTCAGCAAATCTGTTTGTGCTAGTTGATGAGCTGGATTTTTAGTATTTCCCTGTCAGCAACTGGGAGAAAAAAAATTCGAGGCAGGTTTCTGCCTCTTCAAAATTAATTTTTCTGTGAACATCTGCAGTAGACATTTATTTTTTTTACCTTTGGGATGCAGAGAGGGTAAAATAATATTTTTTATTATTTAATCTTTTTCCTTATTTTATTTTACTCCATTACACTATTTTACTCTTCTATGTTACAGTTTCACATAAGGTTTTTGGATAGTAATTTGATGGGTAAATCAGATCTTTTTATATCATCTAGGATATACTTTTCTTTGAAAAGGAAGGAAAAAAAAATAGCAAACTGGAATTTACAGTTCCTCCTGACAAGCTATGGAGATTATTTGAAATCAGAGATGTTATTTACAGGCCTCTGAACTTGAACAGTGCAAATGACCATTTCCCAGTTGCTAAAGAATGCCTTCTGCTTCTTAGGCTTAATGTTCTTTTAAATGCAAAGGAAAAAGGAAACACTAACTTCTCCAAAATGTTTTCCTAATGATCTGCAGC